TAGAGCATTTCTTCTCCATCTCCTTAAAGATGGCCTCCACCTTGGCCTTGGCCGCTGCGACAGCATCCTTCTCACCTGAGATTATGATCTCATCCTTCTGCACCTGCTGCGGCGGCACATTGATCTTGGCGCCAGTCTCCTCCTGCAGCTTGTTGAGGTTCTCGCTGTAGGGACCAACGATGAAGGGGTGGTAGATCTTGGGCACCGTAATGCGGTCCGACGACTTCTTGTACTGTTCAGCGGACAGTTGGCGGATCTCCTGCTCGGCCTGAGCGATACCCTCCTTGGTTCCAGCAATAGTGATGAACTCGCTCTCGTCGCCCTGGCTGGGGATGTTGATGCGCGTGGAAGTGATACGCTCGAGCTCGCGTAGCCGCTGGCCACCCTTGCCAAGGATGACACGGTAGTGTTCACGGGGAACAGTCACCTGACGACTGGCCTGCGTCGAGAAGCTCATAAGGATCTTACGGCGAGCGTCGAGCAGTTCGCTCTGCTTGCCCTTAATCAGGAAGGTCAGCGACTGATTCTTGCCGCTCACAATCTCAATCTGCGCTCCAGTCTCCTTGGTGATCTGCTGGCAAATCCGCTTCGATTCACCCTCGCCGAACTTCTCCGACTCCGTGGACTTGCGCTCCTCGCAGGGAACGTGCAAAACCTGTTGGATTAATTCCGTTTGATTAAACACATCAACAACGTATGAGATGGTGTTTAACTTAGATATAATAGCCCATAGCCACCTGAACCTAAAGATATATTTTCTGAACTTGCCTGCGTCTTTTGGGAGCTAGTCACACGGGCCAAAGAGCTGGAAGCTCCTGATTGCGAAGGCGCCGAGGTGTTGGCCGGCAGAGCCGGGAACAGGTCGTCGTAGCTGAAAGCGGGTGTGGCATTGCCAGTGCCGCCGCTAGTGGTGCTGGTGGGCGTAGCCACCGAAGTGGGCGAGGATGGTTGCTGCTCGTTGGACACCTGCTCTTGGCCATTGATGAGGGCGATAGGCTGCTCGATGGTAGTTACTGCATGATAATTTTCGGTTAGTAATTATTTAATAATATCTGAATATCGAATCACTCACCGTTGTTAGTTTCCTCCATCACTGCTGCTGCTTGCATTACTTAAAAAAAGAGAAGAGTCCTTTTTCGTTCCAAGTCGTTTACAGTACACTGAAAGTAGAGAACTATTACACTATAGGGGACATATGAAAGAAGCCAACTTATCAGCCGGCGATAAAGCCTACGATTAGTCACAAACAAAAAATTACTAGGGGATTATCATTATGTTTGCCGATCAATCACTGAGGAAAGTGGTTAAATGGCATTATTTCGGCAAACACAGATTTAATACAGCACGTTCAGCTGCGGTTTTCATCTCTTCCTGTTGTCAGTCGCCCTCAGACATACAACACTCATTAGAAGTTGATAAGTACGACCCCCGAAGACCCGCATTTGGCTTCCACCCGCTGATAAGGAGCTAAATACATAAGTAAATAGTTGCTGCTTGTCTATGGCTAACACATTAATACTAAGATAATTCATTGGATATAAGGCGTGAATTTAGTCAAGAAGCTAGAATATCTCTACTTGTAAAGATGAACATGAACATATATGTATATGTTCATATATAAAATGCTACAAAGTAATAACAAAATTTCGATTGTAATTTAGGTTTTTAAGTAATAGTATTCCATTAATATAAGCCCGAAGTTTAATTATACCACGATTTTAAAGCCATACCAAAGGAACATAATAAAAATATCTTTCCAGTTGGTTCATAAATAATTCATCAAAAGCACTTATTAACCAGATGAATGTGAAATTTCTTTTGGTTTGATTTTTTATATGACTGAAGAGCAGAAACAATTTGGAAGACCTAATTTCGTAGCCCGGCACTGTAAACAGTGCGTGTCCGAAGGGGGTGCGTCAAATGGATTTTCTAGCGTTGATAAACCGAAATAGATTCGGTTTCCAAACGGACTCTCTGTCAGAAACCAAAACTAAGGCCACGTAGTGCCTAAAACGGCGAGATGAGTGCCCGGCTCCACTTTTCGCTGGTGATAAGTGGACGCGGCAATGGGCCACGCAGGCAGATTCCGAAGCCGAGTGATGATAACTATCGGCCTTTCTGGCTGATAAGACCGGTCGTCCGATCGCCACCAAGATATCGGAGTACGCACATACACGGTGGCAATACTATAAGTGCAGGTCCAGAAATATAAGCTGCTATCAGTCGGATTTGGCATTGGGTGAAAGGTTGGGGACAAGCGGACGAGAAAGAGAGAGAGAGAGAGAAAGAGATCTCAATGGAGAATGAGGAGGAGCAGCTGAAGAGAACATGCACTTGCTCGACCAAAGCTGTTTTCTAAATCAATGCCCAACGAGTTTTCGTAGCCTACATTTTCCTCTCCACCGAAAGAACAACAAAGATATAGCTGTCTCTATTGAGCGTATCTTGGTATATGTGAGCAAAGACGGTGGTAGAATTTTTATTGAAGGGATCAATAACCATAAATCATTCAATTTCACATGAAATATAATCATCATATTAGTAACACGAAATTTTAAATTAAAATTTGATATCACATTTTATTATTATAATGTATACAAATTTACTATGAAAATGACATTATTTTAAGCCCTATTAAATATCTTTTTGTATGATTAGTTGGGCAATTATAGTAAAAAATTTAAATGTTTACTATCCAAAATACTGCTTGTCGCCTTTAAAAAAATTTAGAAATGCTTTTTCAATCTAATCGTTATTTTCCATAAATGCATTTGGACATTTTCAAGTCATTTGGGAAACCAGTAACCATTCTGTCGTAGGAGTTGAGACCCCTGCCTACGCCCATTTAGGTGGGAATGAAAAATGTGTCAAAAGAAGAGACAAGAGCGGGAGAGCAACAGGGACAGGCAGAGTTGGAGGAAAAGAGAGAGAGCTCGACGAAGTAACTTAACGGAGCAGGGGAGCAGCTCCATATAAAACCGGATGATAGCCGGCAACTACAACAAAACGATCGAGTACCAGTGTACGTATACATATATTGAAATGTTTGTTTGTATTTGTGTGCCTGCACATTTCTGTGTCGCTCTTTTTTCTTCTTCGGTGGCATACGGTTGTATGTGTGTTGGCACCTTTCGAGAAGGCACAGGTAAAAACGAAAACAACCAACATACCTACATAGCAAATACCATCTTACATACGTTCGTATGTGACGCCTGCAGCGACGCTGACGTCGACAAATGAAGACAAAGCACAAAAACAATGCGCTAAAGTTCAGCTTAAAAAAATATACAAAATTGGTATGCACATATCGGATGGATTCTTGTTTTTGTAATTTCGATACAAAGATCCCAAAAAAGAAAAAAAGAAAAGTTTGACGTAGTCAGTTTTAGGCATGGAACCGTTAACTTAGGTGTTTTTTTTTTTTTTGCCAAAAACACTTGTGTAAAATGTTAAACTATGCAAATTAACTCTAAAGTGAAGGTTGTTCAACTTACGGTACTGTAAAATCCAAAAAATCCGGCCTAGTTTACTCTTCTTTGACCAAATCCAGTTTGATAACTTGGGTGTCTGCTGTGGAAAGCCGAAAAATAACAAAAACAATTGGTTGGAATTAATGCAATTAGCGAATGCAGAAGATCGGGGCATCAACCAGGATGGATGGCCCTATATTGCATTCGGTCTTGTCATTCTGCATTCTTCTGCACATCCCCAATAGAAAGTCTGTTTCTGCTGTTATTTATCATAGAGCCAGCGAGCGAGAGTGAGTGAGTAGGAGAAGGGTGAAGAGAGGGCAACATATGCGGGCCACTTATTGGACAATTGTTTTTGTGGCAGCAGCGGCAGAAGTGGAGCAGCGCGTGGGCGTGTATGTGTGTGTGAGAGTATGGAAATGCGGAAATCAGTGCCGTATGTTTGCCAGGTGAAAGGTTGTGCGGATCATCTTTTCCGGCACAGGGCGGGGTCTTCACTCCGCCTCCCCGATCCAAAAGTAGGAAAGTTACAACAAAAATATAGCACGCGCGCCTTCCAATGGGACAAATATGCTTATATATGCACGCACACACATATGCACGGGATTTTACGGGCCTCTTTATTTGTGTGCGTGTGTCGACGTCGCCGCCTTTTGAGAATGTGTGTGAGAGCGCGAGTGCGCCGCCCGTGTGTATTATCAACCATTGAAAAACACGTTGTTTTTCGCCGAGCGCACACAAATTTAAAGAAAATTAGCGGCCCGAATTTTCTTTATTTTTTTTGGTTTGCCACTACTACTGCTGCTGCTTCTTCTTGTTATATCGTCGCCGCCCCGCCGCTGCCGGTCCTTTATAACTGTAAATCGGTTTGCACTCTCTTTCGCTCGCCGTAACTTATGCAATTCCGGCTGCAGTTAAACCGCCGCACGGATCATTGGCAAGATAGATGATTTTCGCACTAGAATATTGTTAAATTTACACCCAGACTTTCTATTAGAATGCAGAACGAACGAACGCGGAACTCAACGTTACCGACTCCAAGTAAAATGTGAATGAACATGAGCGAACGTGGCAAATAGAGATGGGCGATAGGCCGCAACGGCTGAAGGGTTGTCGCCGTTTGCAATGCGCGAGAGAACTGTCAAAGGAACTATCGGTGGCTGGGGTAAATACCATTGTCGGCTTTCGGGGATAAGCAGAAAACATTTTTTGGGGAGGTCCAACTGTAAACAAATGATAACAATTCTTGAAGTAAACAATTTTTAAATATTTCAAAAAGAAAACTTATTAAAGAAGCATTTACAATTAAGATTTATATGCCTTAATTGTAATAAGTTTTAAAATAAAGATCAAAGTAAAGGGAGAGATATTTTATACATTTTATACAAAAAACTTCTTTTTATCTGTATGAAAAGTTGTGCATTGTAATTACAGAAATTTAGATCATTTACAAGTGATTTGTTGTTATTACTCGAATAATTTATCGCTCATTAGCAAATATCAAAATTATCGATTATAAGTGTAATCGTCTTTCTTCCATCACCAAATTGAAAAGAATCACAAAGGCAAAAACTCCCCAATCTGTGGAATTTCCGGACATTTGTAGTGACGAGTTATCAGCGAACAGCATGTCGAAGCTAAGGAACCTCTTGCCTACAATCTTTGGCGGGAAAGAGGGACAGAATCCGCCACCCACTGAGGGACGCCTGGAAAAAGATGCAGCGCCTGTAGACGACAATGAGATAGATAACAACAATAGCGGAGCCCTAGCGCTGCCTTCTTCCATTGGCACGCCCACTGCCTCCGCGGATCTTACGGAATCTGTGCTCCGCGAGCTCAGTGATCCCAACTATAATTCCATGGACGTTGTACATTCCGCCAATATTCCGGGTACCCTAAGCAACACCCAAACGAACAACACAATGAACGTGCACAGTGCCCAGCAACAGGTGGTCATGAACTTCTCTAATGCCAGTAATCTACATTTCGGCTCCGTCTACAACTTCAACCAGAACTTGAGCGCCACTAGTTCCCGAAAGGGCAGCTGCAGTGCCACGGACGAACCTATCGCATCCCCAGATGGAAAACAGCGACCCACTGTTGCTCGTAAAACGGTCAGCATTGTGGCCATGATGCAGTCGCAGGAGGAACCCGATGTTCGTCTGCTTGATGTGGTGTCCACACATTTGGGAGAGGGTTGGAAACAGGTGATGAGGGATCTTGGCCAGTCAGAGGGACAGATCGATCAGGCCATAATTGATCACCAAATGCACGGCAATATTAGAGAGGTGAGACCTAGTACTGCCCAATTTTTGTTTGAACTTGTTCCGATTGTTTATTATTTAAAAATATCTTTTATTAGAATTCTGTTCAAATCATTTACCGAATGCAACATGCAGAACAGCAAGATTTCTGTGACGCATCAGCCTAATTTAAATATCTAACTAGCATGACTCAAGTTTGCTTTGTCCTATAATTCAGATAATATCTCAAAATGAATTTGAAAACCAGGATACAACATAAATACTTTCAAAAGTCAATTAGTAGCTATTATGGAATACAAAAGCTTTTAAATCACAAATACTGCAAATTAGCTTACATTATCTGTTATTTTGTATGTTATATAATTCCTAAATTTCACTTTTTTGATACTGCTTCAGTTTAATATATGATTTACTTGTATAGATGAGATTAGATTGCAAGTTAAAAGATAGGAAAATTACATTTGCGTTTTATATTTCCCAATAAAAGTGTAACGAGTGAAGTTTAAAGGCTACTAAAGAATGCAGATATATGTCTATAAAGTTCGAGTTAGAAAATTATAAAAGCATGATTAACGCCCTTCTTTGCTTTTTCAGGTAATTTACCAGCTTTTGCTCCAATGGGTTCGGAGCTCGGAGAACGGTGTGGCCACCGTCGGACGATTAACAACCTTGCTGTGGGAGTCACAGCATCGTGATTGCGTGCAGCGTATGAAACTGGTTTGGAAGGCACTGGAGAAGCGGAAGACAAACAGCTAGCCAGTGAGAGGAACTCATTAGCAACGATTCCAAAACGAAAACGAAGCATTCGGCGCAGCCTCTCGATGTCCATGTCAGCGGGAGTGTAGAGATCGGAAAGGTTGAGCCCCACTGAAATATGCCAGATCCAAAACGTGGAGCGGTGGAATGAGAAGACCCATCCGGCAATATGTGTGCAATATTTGTTTTATTAATTCAACCCTTCGAATAAGTGCCTTGATGATTGCATTAACTATTCTTACAACAGTTTTATCTCTAAGATGTGATATTTGAGTCGAAAATGTAATTAGCAATTGTAGTTTCCATTTTTGTAAAGTGCATACAAATAGAAGCTTTATTGTTACGTAACCACAGACAATCTCATTCCTAACCTTTAAGCTACGGCACAAAGTCACACAATCTTCGTGATCTTCGAGCTAAACATGTCAATCAACATCTGTGCTCCGTTGCCGTTGAGTGACTGATAATTAGGCTGTGCGGCCAACCTATCTAACCAACCGCTTAGCTTAGGATAGCGCTTGACATCGATGGGGGCCAGGCCCACAAGGCTCGTTACCGAAGAGACCATACTGTAATCGGCAATGGTTATGCCCGTTCCACACAGATACGGCTGATTGCCAATGAATACCTCCAAAAAGTCATAGGCCTCATAGATGGCATCGATCTTGTAGCGCGGCACCTCAGTTTCATTTTTATAAAACAAAGGAGCAGCAATATTCCGGATGCAGCCCTGGAACAATACGCCCGATTCAAAGTGCAGACGCTGATCGACAAGAGCGCGTTTGAAGTAATCCTTTGGATACAAGGCATCATCCTTGGCATATCGTCGCACTAGGTATGCGCAAATGGCATGACTCTCCCAAATGCACTTGCCATCATCCTCCAGCATTGGCACCGTGTGCTGCGGATTCTTCAGTGTGTACTCCTTGCTTCTATGTTCCCCGGCCAGCAGGTTCACCAGCTTATATTCATATTGAAGGGACAGAGCGTCCAGGGTCAGTTTACAGGCCCGCACCGGCGGACTGGCCTCGACACCGTATAGTACTAGTTTTCCCATTGTTGTCTGCTCACTCCGGCTGTTGATTAGAAACTAAACAAGCTCCGTCTATCGCTGTAGCGATCGTCTATAAGCAACAAGCGATTCAATTAATTCCATATATTAACTGGACCTCACTTAGCTATTCTAAGCTTTTCCAATTATGATGAGCGGGGTAATTAAGTTTTTGTGCGATTGACATAATATTTATTGCAATATTTTTTATTATTTAATAGGGATCAGCTTGCTGGGGAAACCTATCTCCTGTCAGTGTTTTTAGTCAAGATAGCTGATATGGATTGATAAGGTATTCTTTTTAATCGACTGAATATGACACTCAATAAGTTTTGCCAGGTGCTTTGCTCTATACTACATGGCTTATCATATCTGTTTATTTGATTCTTAATAGTAGAGGTTCTTAGTGGAAAATTCTTTCAGTTGATAAATGTGGGCTGTTCTTTCTAAAAATATAATCTTTTATGTTTTAAATTGTTTGATTTAATCTTATGAGGGATTCGAATATATTTTTCATGTTTAATATTTTGTAACAAATTTTCTAGGAAAAGATAACTTTTATCAAAGAATTATCATAAGTATTTTATATAGTGAAAGAGAAAGCTTTGGAAAATTTGCAACCATATAGATTATATAAGGTTTTTAAAAGAGAGCGACAGAGCTTTCAAGGTACTTAAAAGTATCAAAAATTCAAAAAGAGAGAACCCAAACAAAAATGAATACAAAATATATATCAGCATATGGGTTTATATTTTATAGTTAGCTTTCACATATAGTTCATAGAAATGTTCACAAAACAGTTTACAAAATAAGTTATTTAAAATAATAATAATACTGTAGGACATAATCCTAAGATGAGAAGGTAAAATTAAATTTCTTTAGGAGAACCACCAAGTCCCTCGCGCCTTTGCCACAAGCCTCTTCATAATAAGGCAGTTCTTCCAATTTCTTGATCCAGGAAGTAATTTTTGAATATTTAACTGGATCAATTTCCACAAATACCGCCAGAGCAGTAATAGATGTAATGAGGCTAAAATCCGCAATGGTCAGTTGATCTCCTGCGATATAATCATGTCCGGTAAGGAAGGTCTCTACAAAATCGTAGATTTCGATGACGGCATCGTAACGCTCTTTGGGAATTGTTGTTTGGCCAGAGGCGAATAGCGGCTTGGTGATGCTTCTCAGTCCGTTGACAAAAACAACTCCCGACTCGAAGTGTAAACGCTGATCCACTAAAGCTCGCTGGAGAAGATCTTTTGGATAGAGACTATCACTCTTGCCATACTTGGACACCAAATAAGCACTGATGGCATGGGAGTCCCAGATTAAGTGGCCATCGTCCTCCAAGGTGGGCACCGTATGCTGGGGATTCTTCTTGAGGAACTCGGGTGATAGGGTCTCCTTGGCCAGGGTATTTATTTTCACGTACTCATAGGGTACACCAAGGGCGGCCAAGGTTAATTTGGCAGCCCGAACTGGAGGACTGGCCTCTGTGCCATAAAGTATTAATTTGGACATTTTGTCTCTAAGAGCTTTTCTATTCAACTGAAAGTAGCTGAGAAAAGCTAGTTTATTTATTTGGTTTTGAAAGAGAGGGTCTAAGAGAGGAGCTTCTAGAAGAGAGAGAGAGCTTAAACGCTGGTCATAACAAATGATTCTTTTAGTGGTCATGGCAATTTATTTCACCATACTAATTAGCTACTGAACAATCGAGAATTGAGAATTTTACTATCTACTATTTACTTTTCATATCCCATTTAAAATATTGTTTTCAAATTACAAGCAATGTTCTAAGATAAAAATGTAAAATTAGTCTTCTTGACGAGAGACCCAAAGGTACGGGCTCCATTGCCATTAGCCTCCTCGTAGTATGGAAGCTCTTGCATTCGCTTGATCCAGGCAGAGATCTTAGGATATTTAGCCGTATCTAGTTCCACAAAAGCCATCAGGGAGGTCAAAGTGGAGATGATGCTAAAGTCAGCTATAGTCAGCTGATTCCCGGCCATGTAATCATTACCCACAAGGAATGTCTCTAGGAAGTCGTAGATCTCAATGATAGCATCATAACGCTCCTTGGGTACATTGGGAGTGCCAGTAAAAATGAGCTGAGTAATAGTTCTTAGTCCATTGGCATACATTACGCCAGTCTCGAAATGCATCCGCTGATCCACCACAGCCCGATGGAGAAGATCCATTGGATAGAGACTGTCGGTCTTGCCGTATTTGGATACCAGATAGGCCATGATTGCATGTGAATCCCAGATGAAGTGGCCATCGACTTCCAAAGTAGGTACCGTGTGTTGGGGATTCTTCTTGACGTACTCCTCAGAGAGATTTTCCTTGGCTAGGATGCTTACTTCTACGAACTCGTAGGGTATATCCAGGGCGGCCAGTGCTAATTTGACAGGACGAACTGGCGGACTCGGATCGAAACCATATAGGGTCAACTTGCTCATGTTGTCGCTGTGAGGTCTTTTCTATGACTGAAATAACAGACCACCAAGGCGGGGTATTTATTTGATTTTGAAAGATAATATTTAAAGAGAATTATTCTAAGAAGAGAATGTAATAGAAAACCAGTTGCCCTCTCTTTTGCTTATGTATATTTTTTAGATTTTATTATTGTATTTTTATATAATTAAAGGAATCTTCTACGATTCGAAAGCGAAGTTAGAGTCCTTAATAAGGGATTCAAATATAAGAACTCCTTTGGCATTGGCCTCCTCGTAGTAGGGAAGCTTTTGCAGTCGTTTGATCCAGGCAGTCACCTTAGGATACTTAGCCGTGTCCACCTTGACAAAGGCCTCTAGTGAAGTTACGGTGGAAATGATACTAAAGTCAGCAATTGTTAGTGTTTTTCCAGCAACATAATCATTAACTGCCAGGAAGGTTTCCAGAAAGTCGTAGATCTCAATAATAGCATCATAACGCTCCCGGGGGATAATTGATTTGCCGGCAAAAAGTGGCTTGGTAATGCTTCTTAGACCATTGGCAAAGATTACTCCGGACTCAAAGTGCAATCGTTGATCCACCACAGCCCGCTGGAGGAGATCCTTTGGATAGAGACTGTCTGTCTTTCCATATTTGGATACCAAATAGGCAATGATTGCATGTGAATCCCAGATAAAGTGTCCATCATCCTCCAAAGTTGGCACAGTGTGCTGGGGATTCTTCTGGAGAAACTCTTTGGAAAGGTTCTCTTTGGCCCGGGTGTTAACTTCCACAAAGGTATAGGGCACATCCAGGGCAGCCAACGTCAGTTTGGTGGCACGAACTGGTGGACTTGCTTCCAAGCCGTAAAGTATTAGCTTTGTCATGTTGACTAAGTAAGATGTCTTCTGTAACTGAACTTACAGAGAGGACAAACACTATATTTATTGGATTTTGAAAGAGAGCAATGAAGAGAAATTTGAAAGAGTGGGAGATAAGAAAGCTAGCTATCGATTCACATTTTTTTTTGTATTTTGCTGTTAAAGATTATTTATTTCACCATAATTAAGCACTCTACAGAATCAGGTTCTAGAATGTTGGAAATTAATGTTTGTCTGAATTTCATTTTTTTACTATAATTTTGAATATTTTACAAAGTAGTTAAAGAAGAAGAGATCCAAAACTATAAACACGATGAGAAAAATATTCAATAAGATTTGTATACTTTTTATAAAACGATTTTATTGTCAAGTTATTGAATTACATAATCCATATATTAGTTTTCAAAGGTGAAACTGGTGTTCTTGATAACGGACACGAATTGCCTGGCACCCTTGGCATTGGCCTCCTCGTAGTAAGGAAGCTCCTCCAACCTTTTGATCCAAGCAGTAATGTTTCCGTACTTAACCGGATCCAAGTCCACAAAAGCCACCAAGGAAGTTATAGAAGTAACCAGACTGAAGTCAGCAATAGTCAGGTGATTTCCAGCTATGTAATCCTGACCCTTAAGGAAGGTCTCTGCGAAGTCATAGACATCGATGATAGCATCGTAACGCTCCTTGGGTACTTTAGTCTGCTTGAAGAAGAGCACTGGCTTGGTAATGGCCCTAAGAGCATTGGCGAAGACTACTCCGGATTCAAAGTGCAGTCGTTGATCTACAACAGCTCGCTGAAGGAGATCCTTTGGGTAAAGGGTATCGGTATCAGCGTATTTGGAGACCAAATAGGCAATGATCGCATGCGAATCCCAGATGAAGTGACCATCGTCTTCCAAAGTGGGCACCGTGTGCTGCGGGTTCTTCTCCAAGTAGGCCGCCGAAAGTTGTTCTCGGCCCAAGATATTAACATTTACATATTCGTAGGACAGGTTTAGAGCAGCCAAAGTGAGTTTTACAGCCCGAACTGGAGGGCTGGGATCCAAACCGTATAAAGTTAATTTAACCATCTTTTCGCCGTGGGGTCTCGTTCACTACTGATCCATGGAGGCGGAAATTCTGATAGTTAATGGGAGTTTAGGTCAGTTAAGAGCATATTTAAGAGCGATTTGTTTATGGAAACTTATTTTTAAGGCACTCAAAAAATATTGAATTTTTACAAGTAAATAAGAATGACTATGAGGTGAGAAAATTGTAAGTTTATAATTTTTTAGGTAAATTTATTATTTTTTTATACTCTTTTTACTTAGTTTACAAAGATTTCCAATTTTTTATATTAACATTTTCAACCTATCCCAACATCTAGACTTTATCAACCCATTCCCAAAGCTTTTTAAGAGAACATCAGAGAGCACTTTGTATATCATATAAGTACTAAAATAACAAGCTGTATTCGATAAGCACTTATCAATTTTGTTTGCCACACACAAGTTAAATAAGTGAAGGCATCCAGGAGATATCTGAGAAATTGCCAGTCATAATGACAGAGGGCAATAAAATGGAAAGACCTCGAAAATGTTTGATACCCGGCTAAAATCTCATATTATATATTTTTGTAGACACAATGTAATTCTCTTAAGTTGAATGGTAACTTGTGATACTCTTGATAGTGTAAGCTTTATTCTCTTTCATTTAACAAAAAGAGTTTTATTAAAGTTCTGAAAGTTTTGATTATTAAAATGTATTGACTTGGTAATTTAAATGAAAAAAGTGATAATAGACCCCAAAAAATATATTCTAAATTATTTATATCTTTACAAAATCAATAAGTTTTTAGAATTTTGGAAGAATTTATTTACATATCAAAATCTTAGGTTGCAAAGGAGAAATTTGTAGACTTTATAAGTTCTATAAATGCCCGAGCGCCCTTGGCATTGGCCTCCTCGTAGTACGGAAGCTGTTCCAATTTCTTAATCCATTCACTGATTTTTGGATATTTAACCTGATCGATTTCCACGAAGGCAACCAGTGAGGTGATTGAAGAAACGAGGCTAAAATCAGCAATGGTCAGCTGACCACCAGCAATGTAATCCTGACCCGTGAGGAAGGTCTCCACAAAGTTGTAGACTTCGACAATGGCCTCGTAGCGTTCCTTGGGTATAGTTTTCTGGCCAGAGAAGAAGAGTGGCTTAGTGATGCTCCTAAGTCCATTGGCAAAGACCACTCCAGTCTCGAAATGCAAGCGCTGATCTACCACAGCTCGCTGGAGAAGATCCTTGGGATACAGTGCATCGGTATCAGCGTATTTAGAGACCAGGTAAGCAATGATTGCATGGGAATCCCAGATGAAGTGACCATCATCTTCCAATGTGGGCACCGTGTGTTGAGGATTCTTCTTTAGATACTCAGGGGAGAGCTGTTCCTGACCCGAGAGGTTGACGTTCACAAATTCATAGGGTATTCCGAGGGCTGCTAGAGTTAGTTTTACGGCACGAACTGGCGGACTGGGATCCACTCCATATAAAGTTAACTTGGCCATGTTTGCTCAGTGAAGTCGCGTTCTCAACTGATCGATGGGATCAAATATGACGTTTTTTATAGGTAAATTGGGAAACATTAAGAGAAAGTTAAAGAGATATTTGCAAAGAGTATTTCGTGTACTCTGTATTTGAGAGCATTCGTGAACTTATTTAAGATTAGAAGGATTCCTGCTCTTAACTCCTTTAACAACTTTTATGTTAAGGGGTTAAATTTTAATAGTAAAATAATAATATTCTCAATTTTTAAATAGTAACTGCCTAACTTATGCAATAACTGATTAGGTAAAAAGGTTCGTCGAACCCTTATCAAAAATGTTTAAAAGCTTTTCGTCAGCACAATCTTCAAGCCAGAAATGAATCACTTAGATAATATTAAGGTGATAAGCTGATAACAACCAATCAGTTTGTTTGCCTTGAAATAAGTAAACAAGTTGAGGGCTTCAAGAAAATAGATAAGATGTGGAAAGTCATGCTTATTTTTATGGAGAGTCTTTGGAAATGGTTGCTGACCAGCAAGAATATATGCTATATATGTGTTTTGCTTATCATCCTGTAATGGTACTTTTTTGATAACTGCATGAAAATCCATAAAGAAATGGTATTAATGTAATATTTAATCCAAAAAAGTAAAACACAACCTTTAAGGGGGGTGCTTTTATCAATTTATTTAGTAATTAAGGACTAAGAAATATTGCAGATTAAAATTAGATATTTTAACAGTGAAAAATATTGACAAAATTTATAAATTTGAAAGAAGATTAAATCCAATTAGATCGAAATAAACTTCAAATAAGATAGAAAAGCTAAAGCTATAGTATGTGCTGCAAGGATAAAGGCTTTTCCGATTTAAACTTTTTACACAACTGTAAACTTCTTCGACTTCATCAATCCCACATACTGAGCTGCTCCGGTTCCATTGGCCTCCTCATAGTAGGGCAACTCCTTGAGCCTCTCCAGCCAGGCGGCAATCCTGGGATACTTGGCCAAATCCAACTCCAGAAAAACCCCAATCGAAGTAATGGTCGAAACGATGCTGAAGTCGGCTATGGTAAGTTGATCGCCGGCCATGTAATCGTGATCATCGAGAAAGGCCTCCACAAAGTCATAGATCTGATTGATATGATCCACCTGGTTCTTGGGTAGAGTAGATTCACCACAGAACAGCACCGGACGGGTGAGTCGCCTCAAGGCAGCCTCAAAAATAACGCCCGTCTCGAAGTGCATCAGCGTATCCACCTTGGCCCGTTGCAACAGATCCTTCGGGTACAGCTCATCACTCGCTGCATACTTATCCACCAGATAGGCCATGATGGCATGAGACTCCCAGATGCAGGCATCATCGTCCTGCAACAATGGCACCGTATGCTGAGGATTCTTCTTCGAAAAATCCTCGCTAAAGTTCTCCTTCTCGAAGAGATTCACGAAGATATACTCGAAGGGCAAATCCAAAGCTTTTAGGGTGAGCAAACAAGCCCGAGTGGGAGGACTAGCGTCCAGGCCGTACAGCGAGATCTTACCCATTCTTTAGCTGTTTTACAAGTGAGTGGTATGTGGATTTCAGGACAGGATTTTATAGCTAGTAATGGGGCATGGGAACTTGTCAACCTGACAATGGATTTTTAATTAAGTCCACCCACACCAACAGCAATACCTTTGGAAACCTGAAAAAGCCACGCACCCTGGGAAGTAAATTATTTGAAATTCAATTATTTACACTTTAGTTAGGGCAATGATGTGGCATAAAATAGGAACATTTTAGTATATGTTAAGATATTAAATAGTTAAAGAATGTTTTTTTTTTAAAGATTTAAGAATTTTAACCGATTTTATATATAAGTTTATGATTTTTTAAGACACTCTCTAATTATTATACAAATTTTCATAAAAAAACTAAATTTTTGTTTAGTTCCATGACTTTGTATAAATTTTCCCTTTAAAAACGATTAAAAAATTTGATAGTTGTTTAATTTTCTCTTCAGATTTTCATCTTCATTTCTTCCTTTATTTTTCTCCCAGTGTATGCAATGTCAAACGTTTGTCAACAACTTTCTTTAATTAGCTGACAATTAAAAATTGATGCAGCAACGCACTCGAATAATTGTGGGAACTACTGCTTATAGCAGGGTCAGCTGGTCCTTCAGCATGTCCACGTACTTTTTGGCCCCCACCCCATTGGCCTCCTCATAGTAGGGCAACTCCTGCAGGCGTTCCAACCAGGCCGTAACCTTCGGATACTTCTCTGCCTCCAGCGGAAGAAAAGCTGGCAAAGAGGAGGCTGTGGCAGCACAACAGAAATCCGCAACGGTTAGGGTATCGCCAGTAATGTATGGGTTATCACCCAAGAAGGTCTCCAAATGCCCATAACCATCACGAATATTATCGGACTTCTCCCGCGTTATCTCCGTGACATTGTTGTAGAAATACGGAGCACAGATATTCCGTAGGGCCATAAACAATGCACTGGCATCGAAGTACAAGCGCTGATCAACCCGAGCCCGCTTCACCAGATCCTTGGGATACAGTTCATCCGTCTTGGCATACTTGCCCACCAGATAGCAGACAATGGCATGGGAATCCCATACCAGGACTCCATTATCATCCAGCAGGGGTATAGTATGCTGGGGATTCTTCTTCAGGAACTCCTCCTTGCGATGATCTCCTGCCAAAAGATCCACTTCCTCAAACTCATACTCCAGCTCTAGAGCTTTAAGAGTCAGCTGGCAGGATCTCACTGGAGGACTAATGTTCATTCCGTACAGCACAATACCCGACATGATTCAAGCTTAAACTGTTATATCACTGAAATGATATTGACTCTAATGGTTTGTCAAGGTATTTATACCTTTTCTGGGCTGCGAAAAGGCCCAAGCTACTTCCTAAGAACATGAAAAATGATCCTTGGGCGGGTCTCCAAGTCCAAAGATCTTTCTCTTTCTGCGGAAAGCTTGCTATTGAATTGTTTTCTCAAGAAAAGGTCTAGAAAATGCGTTAGTTTCTTTTATAAACATATCATATATGCACTTGTCTATGTTTGAATTTTACTCAAAAGTAAAAATATTGAAACATTTTATCAAAAAAAAGTGATAAAATCGGAAACTGTTAGGAAAACTTTGAGTTTAACCCCTTTCATTCCATTACAAATCCTCTTCAAAAGCAATATACGCCAAATTCAAGTTTAAACTCATAAATAATTATCATTTAATAAGAAAATAAAATTATAAAGTTAACATATTTAAACAATTGTAAACTTCTTGCTCTTGATGAAGGCAGCTACCTGAGCCATTCTTGAACCATTGGCCTCCTCGAAGTAAGGCAACTTCTTGATGCGCTCAATCCAAGCCGCTAACTTTGGGAACTTAGTAGAATCCACATCCTGTAGAAGTACCGCTGTGGATAGTACAGCGATGATGTGGAAATCAGCAATGGTCAGGTCCCTTTCCAGCCAGATAGTCATTGGACTCCAAGAACAGGTCAAGTGTCTTGTACACCTCCTCCAGAGCATCGAATTTAGCCTTGGGAATCTCTGTTTTGCCCTCCCTCAAAGGACCAATGATGGCACGACCAGTGCTGGACAATACACTGGAGTCATAGTGCAGCCGCTGATCAACAATGGCCCTCTTCTGCAGATCCTTGGGGTACAGAGAGTCATCCTTGCCATATTTGCTCACCAGGTAAGCATTGATGGCATGACTATCGTTGATATAGAAACCATCATCATCCAAGGTCGGAACAGTGTGCAACGGGTTGATCTTTAGGTATTCTGGCTTGAGGTGATCCCCAGTCATCAGATTAACGATCTTGTACTCGAATTCCACGTCCAAGGCGTTCAGGGTTAGGAGGACAGAACGAACCGGAGGACTTCCATCGATTCCGTAAAGCGTAAGTTTTCCCATTTTCCTTTAGGTTAGTTAGTTACTCGGTGAAGTGCTTCCACACTCTGCGGCTTTTATAGGTTGGCAGCTCTCTTAAGCTAAGAGTATTTCGCAGTGCTGTGATGATTCCGCAGTAAATCCAAAGTCGATGACATCAGACAATATTTACTGTGCTCTTTCGTATAAACAAACAGGTGTTTGGGGCCGGCTGACGTAAGAGAGCTTTATCGATGTCCGTCTTTTGGACTTCCAAAAGCTCTTACCCTCCTACTCTTCTGGGTATATATTTGTACATAGGTTAATTATACCTATTTTGACTATAGTTTGCCGCAGTAATCACTAGGAACGAAAGAGGAAAGCGATGGTTGATGGATTGTAGATTAATGTACTTTTGACCTATTAGTCATTGTTAGAGGTTGGGATTTTCAAAGAAAAACCTAATCTAGTTGTGGTATTAAAGTTGATCACTGCACGTACTTTGATTACGCGTATATACGGATATATACGATTAGGCTAGAGATAATAATCAAAAATATGTATATTTAATACACCTTAAAGTCAGAATCGCTTTACAGTTCAACGATTAAAATAAACCTTTTTACTCTACTATTTACTCGCTCTCTTAACTACTCCCTCTCTTAACTAAACTAAACAAACATAAAAAATATAAAAAAACCAAAACACATAAATAAAAATGAAAACGTTCTTTAATCGAACAGCTATCAAGTGCCAAGTTTATCTTGTTTTTCCCCGTCTGCCCCTTAGTAAAAGATTAAACTTATGACCAATAGTTTCTCTTATCGATTGACTAAAAACAAGTTCGGACTGATACGAAAGCGGCTTAATCGAACGAAAGTCAAGAGGATTTTGGTATTACTTTAAATTATTTACTTTTGGGAATATAAATAGAGTTTAGACAATTGTAAAGTTCTTGCTCTTGATGAACTCAATGATTTGTACAGCACGAGAACCGTTGGCCTCCTCGTAGTAGGGAAGCTCCTTGATGCGCTGAACCCATGCAGCCAGTTTGGGGAACTTAGTGGCATCCACTGGGAGGAACAGCACTAAGCCAGTAAGGGCAGCAGCGACATGGAAATCGGCAATTGTGAGGCTATCTCCAGCCAGATAATCGCCACTCTCCAGAAATAGATTCAGGGATTTATATACACCCTCCAGAGCATCGATCCTGGCCTGTGGAATCTCCGTATTATTCTCCCAGAAGAGCGGGTAAAGTATAGCCCTTCCTGCTGATGTGACCACACTGGAGTCATAGTGCAGACGCTGATCGGCAATGGCCCTCTTCTGCAGATCCTTGGGATACAGAGAATCATCCTTGCCATACTTGCTCACCAGGTAGGAGTTGATGGCATGACTGTCAGACAGGTAGAAACCATCATCATCTAAAGTCGGAACAGTGTGCAGAGGATTCATCTTAAGGAACTCCGGCTTCAGCTGCTCCTTCTCGAAAAGATTGACGATCTTGTACTCAAAGTCCAGACCCAAGGCGTTCAAGGTGAGAAGCACCGAACGTACTGGAGGACTTCCATCGATTCCGTAAAGCGTAAGTTTTCCCATTTCGTTGCTATTGTCGCGAGACCGGCTAGTAAGTGTTTGTCAAGGGTCCATAAATTTGGGTCTTTATATAGCCCCTCAGGTGGCTCTCTTCGTATGCTTCTTCTTCTCTTATCTCTGTGGTTGGTTCTTCTTTTTCTCTTATCGATTGACCAAAAACAAGTTTGGACTGATACTAAAGTGCTTTTGTTGTACAAAAGTCAAGAAGTTTAGGTTTTACTTTTTATTTATTTTCGTAGTATATAAATAGATCTTAGACAATAGTAAAGTTCTTGCTCTTGATAAACTCAATGATTTGTGTAGCACGGGAACCGTTGGCCTCCTCGTAGTAGGGAAGCTCCTTGATGCGCTGAACCCATGCAGCCAGTTTGGGGAACTTAGTGGCATCCACTGGGAGGAACACAACGAAGCCGGTTAGGGCGGCAGTGACATGGAAATCGGCAATGGTCAGGTTATCTCCAGCCAGATAGTCGCCACTCTCCAAGAACAGATTGAGGGATTTGTACACACCCTCCAGAGCATCGATCCTAGCCTGTGGAATCTCCGTTTTGTTCTCCCAGAAGAGCGGGAAGGTGATAGCCTTTCCGGTTGATGTAACCACACTAGAGTCGTAGTGTAGACGCTGATCGACAATGGCTCTCTTTTGCAGATCCTTAGGATACAGAGAGTCATCCTTGCCATACTTGCTAACTAAGTACGAGTTAATGGCATGGCTGTCAGACAGGTAGAAACCATCATCATCCAGAGTGGGCACTGTGTGCAGGGGATTCATCTTAAGGAACTCCGGCTTCAGCTGCTCCTTCTCCAGAAGATTAACGATCTTGTACTCGAATTCCACACCCAAGGCGTTCAGGGTGAGAAGCACTGAACGTACTGGAGGACTTCCATCGATTCCGTAAAGCGTAAGTTTTCCCATTTCGTTGCTGTTTCGAGACTGGCTAATAAGTGTTTGTTAACAGACCCACAAACTTGGGGCTTTATATAGCCCCCAGGTGGCTCTCTTCAATTAAGAGAGCTTTGCTTCGTTGTCATGACTCTGCAGTTTTGCTTAATACATCGCCTGCCCACACATCTCTTTGCCTCTTATGTATTTCTTCTATGTATTTCACAATGCTCTTTCAACGTAAGAGAGCTTTATAAAGCTCTTTGGGTCGGTTGGTAAGCATTTATAAATATTTGCTCTTCGTGCGGTTGGTCAAAGTCCCTTAGGTTGTTACCCTGAGGGCTAAATACTTGTTAATCAAGCGATATGGGACAAGATTTTGTAAAGTCATGAGTCTGCATAATTTGAAACCCTAAAGATATGATTTAAAAGCTTCATAAATATTATGATTGGACTTTCGGGAAGAAAACTAAATAAAAGTACATTATAGGTCGTTAAATTGATGAACGATTATTTTTATTTGTCAGGAATTAAAAATGTTTTTAATAAGATGGTTGTGTTAGTATAGTAGATGTAGTAATGTTTCTGTTAAATTCTTTTGATTCGATTTTCTTTTACATTATGTAAAAAACATATTTTACTATTCCTCTAATTTCAAAACAGGTTTTAACAGCTGTATATAATTTTCCAAGCCCCGAGAGTTGTCTTCTTCATAATGAGGCAACTCGGTTAGCCGTTCAAGCCAAGCCGCCACCTTGGGATACTTTTCCTGATCCAGTTCCAGAACAGCAGCCAGCGAAGAGGCAGTAGCTCCGCAACAGAAATCAGCCACAGTTAAACTTGATCCTTTGAGATAACGATTCTCACCAAGAAAAGTCTCCAAATGACCATAGGCATCCTTGATGTTATCCACCTTCTCCTTGGGCACCACATTCACTTGATGAACAAAATACGGAATACTGACATTCCTCAAGGACATAAACAAGATACTAGCATCGAAGAACAAACGCTGATCTACATGAGCCCGTTTAACCAGATCTCTGGGGTACAAATCATCCGACTTGCCGTACTTATCGACCAGATAGCAAACTATGGCATGTGAATCCCATATGAGAGCTCCATTATCATCAAGGAGTGGCACGGTGTGTTGGGGGTTTTTCCTAAGGAATTCCTCTTCAAATTGCTCTCCACCCAGCAGATCCATTTCCTTGTATTCATAGTCCAAGTTCAGGGCTCGCAAAGTCAGCTTACAAGCCCGGACTGGCGGACTTATGTCCATGCCATATAGTATTAAGTTACCCGACATGATGCTGCGACCACAAAGAAGACTCAAGCTATACTGAAACCCAAGATAAAAAACCAACTACAGACGTTTAAGTTAAATGAACTTAAATTAACAAGCAATTGCTTTCCCAGAACGGGGGTTATCTTTCTCTTAAAGAAACTATGTAATTTTACACTGAGGAAATAAAAGAGAACGTTATGGGATGTAAGTTGAGATTGAGGCAAAAAAATCATGAAAGATGAAAGAAAGTTTTTCAAAGGGATCAGAAACCGCGCTGTGATAACTTTCTAACAATTATAGCCTTTTTTTTAGGCATTTCTAGCATAGACTTAATGATACCTAAAATATTATTTTGCTATTAAAATTAATAATAACAAAATTAATTAAATAAAAACTACAAAATTATCTTAGTTTTAAGAAAACATTTAATATTTAACAAACTATAAAGAGTAAAGTGGACAAAAGTCACAAAGAGACTGAGAAATTTAAAATTTCATATTTTTTGGCTAAATTATTTTACTTATCACCCAGTTTGGTCCACTTGCTACGCAAGAAGGCTACATAGCCCTGAACTGGACCCTCGTTGATCTCCTTGTAGTAAGCGATCTGGTTAAGGCGATCCAACCAAGCGGTGACCTTGGGATACTCAGCTGGCTCAATGTCAACACCAGCACGCAGGGAACTAACTGTGGGTCCAGCAACTAGATCAGCCAGGGTCAGAGAATCACCAACCAAAAAGGTGCTGTTCTCCAGGAAGACCTCCAGCAACTTAAGGCCACGATGCGCACCGTCCAGTTTCTCCTGTGGCACCTCAGTGACACCTCGAACCCAGAAGGGAGCAACTATGTTGACTAAACTTGCATAGATTACACTTGCCTCGAAGAAGAGGCGTTGATTGATGATGGCCCTCTTAACCAGATCCTTGGGATACAGCTCATCTGTCTTGGCATACTTATCCACCAAGTAGGTAACGATGGCATGGGAGTCCCAAAGGAAAGTTCCATTGTCATCTAGTGTGGGTACCGTATGCTGAGGATTCTTCTTCAGGTACTCCGGAGTCAGATGCTCGCCAGCCAGAAGATTCACTTCCTTGAATTCGTAGTCCAAATTCAGGGCCTTGAGTGCCAGTCTGACAGCTCGAACGCAGGGACTGAGGTCCGTTCCATATAATACTATTCCAGAGCTCGGCATTTTGTGTAGTTTTACCTTCAACAGTGCTATTACGACTGATAATTTCTCTATGTTATTTATACTGATTAGAAATAAGCTTTTCTCTAACTGCTCTCTTGTTTGGGCGTGTAAGGAAAAAAGCTTAAAGTTTTGTTTGTTTTCTATTTGTTTTTATGTTTTTTATGAAAAAACTGCTTTATTCAGCATTATTTGCTATTTTTATGATTTCATCATGAGAAACGCTGCTTGCATGGGTTTTTTAATTTGCGGTAGGTCTTGATGGTGGTTCTAGAGTTTGGCGAACTTTTGATAAGGAAAAGTTAATAAAAGTTAATCAATACGACACTTCTTATAGCTTAAAGTACATTCAAAAAGTTATAGTATGGAAAAAAACTAGCTTTAGTTTAATTTGGGATCATGATGCATTTATTAATATTTTTTTTATTATTTTATATTTTCTTTTTTAAACTATTTAATAGATTAAACATAAATTTCATAGTTTGCATACCTTTCTTTCTAGATCCGAAAGATGAGGGTTTACAGGGTACTCATTCATAGACTAAGCAATGACCGCATAAGAATCCTACTTTCAATCTAATTAAGTTAATGTCCAATGAAATTATATAATTATTATCTAAATAATAACTATCTATAATGTATTATTTTGATTTAGCTTCTTATGTTTTGCATTTGCTACTCTTAACTCCGGTGAATAGTTCCTCTTTCGCTGGTTCTGCTTCTCTTAACTTATGATAAATGAGAATTTGAGCGGCTTATCCAACGAAACTTAAATGAAGACTCTTCTCCCGGCTTTTTATATATATATATATATATATAGTAATATAGTAATATATAATATAAACTGTTGTTCTGAAAGCTTGCCGGCAGATATAGAATTTAACGCTTGACTTTGAGTGTTTGTACTGTGTTGATATACCGCCCCATCAGCAATATTGGCATAAACAAGCATACACTGACAGAAATAAATACCATATTCAGACTGTAAAATATTAATATTAATACATGATAACAGCAAAGCCTTCATCACAGTAATATAAGTTAGTAAAGTTTATTTTTAATTTAAAGTTTTATATGCATTTATTAAAAAAATGTGCTTTGAATATCAAAAAGTTAAGCATGAAAGGAATGTAAATAAGATGAAGATGTTTTTTCTTAATTATCTCCCAGCTTGGTCCACTTGCTGCGTAGAAAGTCCACGTAACCCTTAGCTGGAGCTTCGTTGATCTCCTTGTAGTAAGGCAGCTGGTTGAGGCGATCTAGCCAAGCGGTGACCTTGGGATAGACAGCAGCATCAATATCCACGGCAGCGGGCAGGGCACTAACAGTGGGTCCAGTGCACAGATCGGCGAGTGTCAGCGAATCCCCCGTTAGATAAAGATTGTTGCCAAGGAAGGTCTCCAGCAAGCTCAGACCCCGATGAATGGCGTCCAGTTTGTCCTGTGGCACCACAGTAACACCTTTTGTCCAGAATGGACCGCTAACATTAGCCAAACTTGCAAAGAGAACGCTGGCGTCGAAGAAGAGGCGTTGATTGATGATGGCCCTTTTGACCAAATCCTTGGGATACAGCTCATCCGTCTTGGCATACTTATCCACCAAGTAAGTAACGATGGCATGGGAGTCCCAAAGAAAACTTCCATTGTCGTCTAGTGTGGGGACCGTGTGCTGGGGATTCTTCTTAATGAAATCCTCACTCAAATGCTCTCCCGCCTGGAGGTTCACCTCCTTGTATTGGTAGTCCACATTGAGGACCTTCAGGGTGAGTTTGACGGTCCTCACACAGGGACTAAGGTCCGCTCCATAAAGTACAATACCAGAGCTCGACATTTTACGGTGTTTATCCAGCAGCGGTTTTCTAACGACTGATCTCTTTCTTCTCTTTTTATATTTTATGGCTTATTTGACGAAAGCTTTTTGCTAATTGGGAGAGCATTTCGGAAATGAGTGATAAAAGCTTGACATTTGGGTGTTTGTTTGTTACGAAGAGAAATGGGTTTTAGATAATGTATAATTAATTGAATTTATAGATTATTTATTTCATCAGAAAGAATATAGATTGTTTAGATTTTGTAAGTTCTGGAAGGCTGGACTTTTTTTTGTAGATTTAAAAGATTATTTGCTAAAAGTTTGGTTTTTTTAAAGAACAGAAAGCTCATGCTTACATTCCTCAAGAAATATTTAATCCTTTTATGACTTAAAAAATATTTTTAATACCATAAATATAACATTTTTCTGAGAATCATAATTGTGAGAACTTTACATTAACTCGTGTAGATATTCCGCCTTTAAAAAGTATACTACATTTCATGTAGACTTCATGTAGATAATCTGTTCTATTTTCCTTAACGAAGCTTCAAAGTTCTTAAAAGCGAAAGCTGAGCTTTGAAATATTTTAATTAAAGCTAATATAAGACTAAACACAAACTAAACAACTTTAATTTCTATCCTGCTTACTAAAACTATGATAGTATTATGTATAATAAACCAAAATATTAAATAAAAAACTTTTTAAACTTATAAAGTGAAAGCAATGTAAAATCTCTGCCTTGTAATAACAGAAATTCACATTTTAAGTTAATAATTTTCACAAATTTAAACAACATTATATATGTTACGTATAAGAAACGTTTAATTTCCATAATCATAGGTTAAACTTTAACGTTTTTAGAAGCAAAACCCCCCTTACTACCCCACCCTTGCTATACCAAATCATGAGAGTCTTAACCAAATATTAACCAACCTATAGATAGCAGAACCGACTTATCTGAAGAATTAATAAACAATCAGGCCAACTTAAACTTGCAGCATTATGACGTCTTTGTGATTATTATCAAGAAACTAAGTTTAGTATCTAATCTTATCGAGGTTGAAGTTTAAAATCATTTTGTGCTTTGCCTTGAGTCAGTTGTGGATAGTCCATTGTCTACTACGAATCTCAATTTAACCAGCTAATAGACAAAAAAGTGAACTAACCAAGATGGTAAACCTAATTTTATATGGCACTGAATCCAGTCCACCGGTTCGAGCTGTTCTCTTAACCCTGCGAGCCCTCAAGCTGGAGCATGAGTTCCAAACGCTGGAAATGCAGGCCGGTGATCATCTGAAACCGGAAATGTTACGCAAGAATCCTCAGCATACGGTGCCCATGTTGGAGGATGGTGAGTCATGCATTTGGGACTCACATGCCATCATCGCCTATTTGGTTAACAAGTATTCCCAGTCGGATGAGTTATACCCCAAGGATCCTCTCCAGAGAGCTGTGGTAGATCAGCGTCTGCACTTTGAGACTGGTGTCCTCTTCCATGGCATTTTCAAGCAACTGCAGAAAGCTCTGTTCAAAGAGAATGCCACTGAGGTGCCCAAGGATCGTTTGGCTGAGCTTAAGGATGCTTATGCTCTGTTGGAACAGTTTCTGGGCGAGAATCCTTATTTGGCTGGTCCCCAGTTGACCATCGCTGACTTTAGTATTGTGGCCACGGTTAGTACTCTGCATCTAAGCTACTGCCCAGTGGATGGTGTTAAGTATCCCAAGTTATCCGCTTGGCTGGCCAGGCTTTCCTCATTGCCTTACTATGAGGAGGATAATCTGAGAGGAGCCCGCTTACTGGCTGATAGGATTCGCGCCAAGTTACCCAAACAGTTTGACAAGCTGTGGCAGAAGGCTTTCGAGGATATTAAAAGCGGAGCAGGAAAGCAGTAATAGTGGATACTATATGTAAAGATATATATTAAAAGATGTAATCTGCGTTATCTTTTCAAAAACTAAAGTTAAATATCTTTTTTTAAGGCCTTTTCGTGTAATAACTTTGGTACTACGCTTTTTAAAGGGAAATCTAAAGATTTCCCAGAACTCTTAAGTTTATTGATAAGAGTTTTCTGAAATTCTATCTCCTATCATATATATCTATCTACTAGTTTATAAAGTTCTGAGAAGCATCGTAAAGTGCATTTCCAATGGCAACGCAGTAAAAAGTTTACAACTTTTTTGCGCTCATTAAAATTATAAAATTTTCCCCTCCACAAAGCGACACAAAATAGAAGATGGCGCGAGGGAATGAAAAGCGCAAAGTTTTCCTGCCGTGTCGTGCATGCTAAGTTGTTAAATCATAATTAATTTATGACGGCGCCATCCGCCGAAGCAGCTAGCCATTGCCCCAGCTCTCTCTCCCTCTCTCCTTGCCACTTCCAAATTTGCCTCTTATCTACACTTGGGTCTCCAACTCCTGGCACCCCTTCGCCCTTCTGTCTAGTCCCCAAAAGGGCCGCACCGTCGTTTAAAATACTCTTAAAAAAAGGAGCCCAAGTCTAAATACCTGCTGGGGGAAGTCCATTTCCAACCCTCCAAAGGGAGATGCTGCCGTGAGCTTGAAGTTAAGGCACGCAATCACGAGTTTAAAAAGCTTTTCATTATTCTCTTTAAATATCCAACCCAAGTCTGAATCCTTGAAAAATCCCGAATCCTGCTTTACCGGAACTCGTGACTTTGTGGGCATCACAGGGACTTACCTAGCGTCGCCGGATTTTATGCGCCTCATTGCAGCAACGACGACGACGGCAACGACGACGACGACGATGTTGAGAGTGGTGGCAGGCAAACTAATTGGTTTAATTTCAACTTTTACTTTGGGCCACCCTGTCGCCTTGCCACCCTCTCGCCCAGCCACCCCAAAAATTGCCACCCCACGTCCTTGTGCCTTAAACAACACCATCCCTCCGCTCCTCTCCTTTCCTTCCACCCACCGTGTCAGTGGCATTTGAGAAGTTTGCTTTGCTTTACGCTTCGCCTGCCACTTTACTTGCCTTCGTGGCGGGACGCTTTTACTTTTTCCTTTTTCCGCCTTTACAGCCTTCCACTTTACCGGGTTATTTCCTGACCCGCCCACCTTCTTCTTTTGGATCAGAATCTTTATAGAGAGGTGCACTAATTTATGGTAGTTTTCTTTTGATAAGCAACGGGGTTCCTTATGATTTTTATGAGGAGAAAAAATTACTAATTTTTGATGGTTTTTCATTGGAAAATTTATAAAATTTTAGATATGGAAAAATTTCATCTACAGCTTATATTTGATGCTTCTCAAAATGGGAAACTTTTCGCCAGCACATTGACCTCGAAAGTCATCCAGGGACAGATCATGGAAGGCCACTCCACCCAATCCTTGGGCTTGAACGAATCCAGCCTTGATAGCCGCCGTTGTGGGATCCTCGTAGCCAACCCATATACCATTCTCCCCATGGTCATCGGCGGCTCTATAAGCGTAGACGCCAAACCGTTTGGTGGGATCACCTACTTTACGAAGGTGTGGAGCTTCCCGCTCCTGCAGTTGCTGTTGCAGCAAGTCACACGTCTCTGGCCAGCTAAGTAATCCGGGTGTTACAGTTTGCCTGCCCCCAGGAGCAGCACCATTGGCCGCTGGTATCGGAGGATAGCCTGTGATTCCAGAGTTCCTGGTCATATTCCAAGCACGTCCATAACTGGTCACCCCGACGTGCAGCTTATGGGCACTGATCTCTGATGTCTGATTCAACCAATATTGCACCTGGTACTGAACATTGTGACTGGGCTCCCGATCGTACATGGCATACAGTGGGGCAGGCAAATCTGCCACATTGGGATCCCGTTCCGGGGTTTGGAAATCATAAGTGCCCAGGTTGACAAAGTCCACATGACCCAAAACAGTGGGTATATCAATGAAGACTAAGGAAAAGTTTAAATATTAGTAACTAGATGGAACTTTCCATGTACTAACTTACGTTCTGCCGAAACATGAGGCAACATGCTGACAGTCAGTAGTTGACCAGCGCGACGCAGATCCGACTGAAGTTCACCCAGAAGCGTGGCAAATTGCTGACGATGCTCCTCGGACTTATCATCCACCGATGAGGATCTAAACCATCCTCTAACGGAGCCCCAAACTCGCTTAATCACTCCCTGCTGAACTTTGGGTTTGTTTTTGGGAAATTGCCAGGCAAGATCGAGTCCATCGAAGCCATTGCTGTTCAGTTCGGCTATAACACTAGCCTGGAAACTTCTCCTATGCTCTGGCTGTTCCAGTAATCTCAGATATTTACCACTATCTACCAAGCCCTCGCTATTCAAATCCTGATCACCGCCCACAGAGAGAAGGAATCTTACGTGAGGATATTTTTTACGCAAAGCGGTAATTTGTCGATAATGCTGTTGGCCATTTGTCAAGGAAGGAATTAAACTTTTGATTTTATAGGTCTCCGAATCGATTCCCGCATAACCGTAGACCAAAAAGTTGCAAAACTGTAGGGCGGGCTCCAGTTCAGCCAGCGACATTTGGGCGGGGCCTGACACAGAGATAAGCTTTGAACTTCTTGGCTTTTAAAGATTAGAAGATTTTCAGAACTCACCTTCCCGGACAAAACTCTTTGCATCGTAGAAGCAGACTAGTTTGCCCACCTCTGCGGATATGCACTGCAATATTGCTAGAAAACAGCAGATTAGTAACCCTCTAAATGGGCTATTTGGGTTAGACATTGTGCTTGGTAGTACTGTCTAGCTGAAAGTTAGATTAAGAACTGATCTGGTTTTGTTTTGATGAGCTAAAGTCAAAGCTTTCTTTAAATGAGCTTAGTAGATAAGGATTTATAATATTGTGATTAGGGATTTTGTTTTTTTATTGTATATTATGTTATGAATGTGCTGTGAATGTATGTCAGTTTATAAAAGTAATGAAGTACTTTTTAAGATTCAAAGGTATTTAGGTTAATCAAAATTTTCAAAGGGGAAATGGATTGTTGAAGAACAAAACATGTTGCATACTTTTTAGCGGAGTGTGATTTATTTGCTTGTCTGAAAAAATACTTTAAAAAGTTTAGGAAACAAATCTTTTGGTTTAAAAAATACAAAAAAAATTAACAAATTTGCTATTCTTATATAAATAAAATAATACAAAATCTTACAATAAACTGAAGATTAAAAAAACTTTCCTTACTATTAATCCTTAAATAAATTTCTAAGATTTTAAAATTTATAAAATTCCCTTTCACCCGACTTTTTCCTTTATTTATATATATATTCCATTAAACACATTCACCCACAAGCTGGCAAACAAACACCCACAGTACAACCATACAACCATTAGTGCGTGTCAAAGTAAAAAGTGGTGGGTAGATGGTGGGTTAATGCTGTGGCTTTGGGTTATCAAAGTGTCACTTCCACAACTTCAATGCCAATCCGAAGTCCTGCACTCAGCAGCAATTTACCGATTCCCACAGGACAATAATGTTTGTTCATGCTCGTAACGCTTAAACAACATTAAAGCCTTCGAACTGAACTCGACGGTATGATGAGTTGTCACTCCCCAGGAGCTGGCCGCAATAACTTCAGAGGGGTCACCACTCAAACATGGATGGCCATGGAACAGCCATCTCCATGTTCATGTCCATGTCCTTCATCCCCTTACCCTTCAGTTGATTAGCAATTTTGTTCACGTGGCGATGGCAAGGGCAAAATGTGTTGACTGCCATGTCATTTGATGGTAATGGAAGGGTCAGCTGGGTCAGGGGAAGGATTCAGTGGTCAGTTTCTGTCCTTACTTATTTTGAAAACTTTTTTGGGGTTTATATTAAACAGATCCCTAGGACAATTGTGTCAGGGCAGATGTAAAATCTTGGGATAATTGGCTTTGTTTTGAGCAAGATTTAGCTTTTAGTTGGTGCTTGTAATGGGGTTAGGGAAATATTATTTATAAAAATAAAACATCTAATTTTAAGATTTAAGTTACCCAAAAACAATGCACATTCCCTGGAAAACAAACCAAAAACCAAACAGCACATTTTCTCTTAACCAAAGAGTTTGTGGCTTTCACCTTGGAAAATGTTCATCCCTCGCAGAATGTGCAGCAAAAATGGGTTAACAGAAAATGAATTTGAAGTTTATGCATAAGGCCGCAGTTGGTTGCATCATAAAACCAAATGGTGAGAGCCATAAAACTAACCACAGCACAAAAAACAAGAAGCACCAAAAAGGACAATAAAGGAGGCAAACGGTGGGGAAAAGCCAAACAGGATTCAAACAGAATGTAACCGCAAGCACGGACGCTTAGGCAATCAACTAACAGAATGCACACATGTTCGGTGGCACGGCTTTCTATATTTCTTTTTTTTTATACCACTGATGCCGCTGCAGAGGCGGAGGCAAAAGGGTCTTTTCATGCTAAAGACATAAACTCACAGAAATATAACTTAATTTCAAAATCCTTTCATGAGGACGTATTCTTACAGAGATATCTATATTATTTTTCCGACCTTCTTTTAATACACCTTTAAGTACACATTCTTTATAAAATAAACCCCTCCTGATTTCCCTATCGTAAGCTCTGACCACGCCTCTGAACCTTTCACCATGCACTTTAGCCACAGGTTGACAGTAAACTAATAGAGGAGCAGCTGCTAGAAAGCCATTATGTAAAAAAAGGAAAAAACAGTCTTGCAATCACACATAAATATTAATGTGAAGGAAAAAAGCGGAAAAAGATTGAAAAGTGATTAAAAAAAAGTATTTTAAACACAGTAAATATACAAAAAATAAGGAAAAATATTATATGTTGTTTTAAGTACTTAATATTAAAGTATAGAAAAGAAAAAAGTATGTTAAAAAGTGTTTAAAAAAGTTACTTTAAGAATAATAAATAGAGACTTAAAGTGAGAAATATTATACTATAGATTGATGTTTATGCTGGTCTGTGTTCAACATGGTTAATATTAAGTATACGCAACTTTGATAGTTCTATTTCTATTTTTATAAGCATTCTTAGAAATGGAAAAGTAAAAGATATAGTATAGTAACTATATCTGACTTCTATCCAATTCTAAAGGTTAACTTCTTAAGTGAAGCAAATCTAAGCAATATTTCAAAGTTTTTCAACATTTTTAAAATGTTTTTTTATGCATTCTTCAGCTTTTAAAGAGCAGGACCTTATTCAAGCCTTGAATTTTATTAGTTGAATACTTTTTCTTTTACTAAAAACCCCCTAAAAAACGGCCTTTCCTTTGATACAATAAAATAACTTCCTCATCATATACCCCTTCAGCCAAATTCAAGCTTCTGTTTCATTTGAATTTATAGAGCATAAACATGACCCCTTGAAACCTCTGACATGCGTCTCCTCAACACCCGCCACTTGAGTACTTCAAACTCAAACATTTGTCCATTCCGGTAGCTCTTTAAACGTGCCACAAAGCCAACAACTCCTTGCCGCCTTTAATTCCTGAATACCCTCTCGACTGGTTGATTAACTTTTTTGAAGAGACATGTGGCAGCTGTCGCTGCCCGCAACGCAGCGTAATTAAATTGTTAACGCACACGTGTCGGTTGTCCGTCGATCCACCCATATATATATGTATACGGTCGTATACGGTCATATATACAACTCCTGCTGAAGTTCATTTAACCGTAATGCCATCTACGCTGACAAATGTGTGTAAAAAAAGTGAGAAAAACAACAACAACATTTAGCACACGCGGCACTAATCCAGAGTGGGAGTCTGAAGGCTGGATGCCTGAGTTAAGCCCCTTTTTCCTCGCTCCCCTTGCACATTTCACCTTCACCTTTCTCCGCTCTTGCAAATCTCTCCAGTGAACCAACTCGAAAATCGCCTCAAGCCCCTCGAAACACCCAAAAAACACATTTTGCATGGAGCTTGGCTGGTGGTTTTTAATGCTTCATTGGCTTAATTGCCAGCCATGAGCAAAAACACATGCACTGAGAGAAATTTTGTGGGAAAATAAATTGCAATAAAATAAATAAATATTATAAAATATCAATAACACATAAATTTATATAAAAATCATGAAATTAAATGTTATTTTTTTTTAATTTTACATTTAGGATTTATCCTTTCAAAAGGTTAAAACTTATTTACAAGTTGAATTACATCTTTGTCAAAGGTTGTTGTTATGTCTAATGGACATTTTCGGTACCAAAAAAATATATAAAAATAAATATAAATAAAAAATATATGTAAAAAATTAAAAATAATTAATTAAAAATAAAAAATAATTAATTAATAATTAATAAATTGAAATAATTAAATTCGTTTATTAGTTCTAAAATAATTGCTTAATAATAATTTTAAAATGGAAATTAAAGGTTATATAGAAACATTTTAGTAAAAGTTTTATAAAAGCTAAATTCAACATTTAAATATAAAAGTTTAAAAAATAAGTTAAAAAATAAGTGAACTTCGTAAATTCTTATTTATTTTTAAGAACATTAAAAAATCTATTAAATCACTACATTACTCCTTTTTATAAAAAATATTAATAAAATAAATGTATATAAAATTGGGTTCTCAAAACTAATCATTTCTGGTCTTTTATTTTAGTAATATTTATTATTATTAAGACTTGTTCTTATTTTCTACCATCATTCTTTATTTGTTATTAAATACAACCCTTTGTTATTTATAAATTTTTAAATATCATAAACAAATTCCTTCCAGTGCATCCATGCACGAGTAGAGTAACTTATAAACAAAATCAAACAGACACACCTACCTACAACAACTTTTGGCTGGCAAAGTTAATTCGACCACAAACACGTTCATTTACCTTTTGCGGACAAATAGAGAGACAAATTACAAAAAGGGAAAATAAAACTTAAACTAAATAAAATGCCAGGAAAAACTCAGGAAAGCTGTCTAACAGTTTTACCAAACAATTTCCCAAAACAAGGCAAGGCATTTGTAATCAGCTTAGAAATATTTCTTGACTTAACTTCAAATTTGAGATACTTATAGTGCGGTGTTAACTTTGTATACCAAAAATATTTATATTCCACATTAATTTGTATTTTAAAGAATTTTAATTTCTAAAATAAAACCAACTTATTTTACCATTATAATAAGTAGTAAGTAGGAAATAAGAAAATATTCTAAAGATTCCATCACTGTTTGCGTATAAGAATTAGATTCAAATGCAAATCACAGACAAAGACCTCTTCAAAGCTCTATATGATTGCTGTTGAAAATCAGGTTATGACGCATTTTTATATGCCATATTCCCAATGTCTTGAATTAATTGAAAAAAGTGCGCAATTTGCTAATCAGTTCGACTTGGCTTGGCTGGCTATAAAAGAGACGCGTTCGTATGACTTGGCAAATTAGTCGCTCAAATCACTCACAACAATATGAAGCTGCTCTCGATCACCTTTCTGCTGGGCCTTTTGGCTTTGGCCAGTGGTGAGTCTAAGGATATATTCTTTAATAAATAATATATATTTTAATAATAACTTAATCCCTTGTCTAGCCACTCCTCTGAATCCCGGCAATGTTATCATCAATGGGGACTGCAGAGTTTGCAATGTTCGCGGCGATTAAGAAATGCAGCGGAAGGAAAATTTGCTGATTTGTGACGAAATATGAAATAAAATAAGTTTAATGAAACTATAAAAAGTATTTGTTTATAGTTTTTGGGGGTTGTTAAATATAGTTTTTAATTTTCAGACCATTCAGGAAAAGCTTCATGTGAAAAAATAATTTTTGTTGACTTTCTACTAAGTTTCGGGAAAGTCTAAGGAAAACCATTTTTAAAATATCGCCAAAATTTCTAATAAAATTCTATTATGTAAAAATATGTTTCCTTATATATGTTCTTTTAGGAATCCAGGATTTAAGGATTTTTCAATAATTATTATTTGTTTTTAAATTTAATAAATAAAAACAAATATTTAGCTGAAAGCCCCAGCAGGCATGGCTATTTTCCCTTTCCTGCAGCTTAAGTTTTTAACATAGTGTAAAAAATTAAAATAAAATAAACAAAAAGCTAATTTAATATTTTTGCTGTTTCTTTATTTTCTTCCCATTTTTGTTACGGAAAACAAAATTATTTTTGGCCTTAGCTTAGCCTCCATGAACATTACAGCTTCGGCAATCCCCATTGATAACAACGTCTCCTGGCTTAAGAGGAGAAGCTAAAAAATCAGAAATATTTTTAAAACTAAATTATAGAAAAATATTAAGGATTTAAGAATCAACTCACCCTTTGCCATAGCCAACAAACCAAAAACAAAAACCAAGGACAACCACTTCATTTTTCTAGCAAAGCCTTAAACTCAACTGATAAAATTGCATTTTCTTGGCTCTCTTTTATAGAAAACCTTTAAGATTTAAAATTAAAACCTAGGAAATTCCCAGAAAATAAGTATTTAAGTACAGAAAAGTTAATTTTGATTACACAAGGTCATGAGATTTCTGGAAAAGCCCTGGAAATAAAATATTTCCCAGTGATAAGATGAAGCTATAATAATGCCTATAAAATATACAAACGGAGAACAGAAGGTGATAATATTAAAATATAATATTAAAAAAAATACAAAAACTTATGGAAAAAATATTTTAAAAATGTATTCAATTTTGTTAAATTATAAAAAAAAACTTAAAACAATGTTAAAAATAAAGCTAAGCAGAGACTTCGAAATATTCAACAAAATATAAACTTACTTCCATGTCTTAAATGCTATTTAAATTCTTTAAATATTTAAAAACAACAAAAAATCAAAAATAAAGTAAGTCAAAAAAAAAACTAAAAATCCTATTAATTCGGTATTTTTATATGTAAATAAAAATAATAATAAAAAAGTTTGCAGAAAAAACCCAAAAAATCTCAAATTCCAGTTCAAACTTAACTAAGTTGATCCCAAAAAAAGTTTTTATAGCTTATCTCATAGCTTTTATAAATCTTTGCTTTATTTAGACATTAATAACATAGTTTTTTAACTAAATATATGATATAAAATTCCAAAAACCATCGCTCCAGTTGTTAGAGTATAAGACATAGAACCCGACATCTCCGAGGGTATGATAATATTCTTGTCGTCATCCGGCTTATTGCAGTCGATGCACTTTCCATTGATGTAAACTTTTCCCGGTGTGGCTGTAATTAACATAGTTATAGTTAGAAATATATATATTTTTTAATTGTTATAACAATTACCATTAACCGCTGCCAACAGGCAGAAAAGCAGCATCAAAGTTCCGGCGACTTGCAGCGATTTCATGTTTGACTTTCGGATTTCGAACAAAAATGATTGCAAAAACGCGATTGCTGTGCTTTTTATATGATAGAGGTATATAGTATTGTCCAAGCTTAGCTTATACAGTGAAACCTCGAAATAGGGAAATGTTTTGGTAGTGATAAGAAAGCTCGAATTTTGTTTTAAGAACATGGATAGAAAGGGGCATGTATTATTGTGGTTAACATTTTCTTTTAAAATCGAAGTATTTATTATTAAATTAATATGAATATTAAATATTAAATGAGTAGAGGAAACATCCAAATTAAACATATAAGTTACTAGATATTAGGTTGTCAAAAAAGTCTTGCGGTATAAAATTGGTTAGAATAATGCCATTCAAGTCAAATAATCGCCGTTTTGTTCGATGACGCGTTCCCAACGAGATGCCAACTTCAGAGGGGCATCCCTCTTATAGAACCTCGCTTCCCTATTGGTAAAAAAACTCGGAGCGTGGCGCATCTTCGACCACCTCCACACCAGAACAAAAACGTTGATACCATCGTTGTGCGGTGGAAATGGAAACTGAATCGGGTCCATAAACTGCACAAATTTTATTGGCGGCTTGAGATGCATTTTTGCCTTTATCGTAGTAGTACTGTAAAATATGCCGTATTTTCTCTTTATTTTGCTCCATGATTTCGACGCTATAACTTACAAACGACTTAAAAGAAAGGACAATCAATCAAGCGCGTGAAATGAGCTTACCAAAAAGGTATAGTATGATCTGATGCGACGAATAGAACTACGCGCTTTAAGCGCCAACTAGCGAAAATACCGCAAGACTTTTTTGAAACATTATTTTTATGTTTAGTAAATTAGTTTATATATAAATAGAAGCTATAGCTTATTTCTTATAAAGCTTAAAGACTTAAGCGTCAATCTACAGTTTTTCTTTGACCATTAAAAGATAAATTGTAGCATGCTAAAGTATTAATAGAGTATTTCTTATTGGATTAAAGTGTAATCAACTAAAAGTTGATTAATTTTTAATCCTTATTTATCAAAAAAAATAAAACAAAATTTTCAATTTTTTCACATATTTCTATATGAATTTATTTGTTCTCCAATTTCTACGTTTTATATTTTTTAAGTTTAAATGTTTTTAAATCTTCATCTCCGCCTGCTGTTCCTTCATAAAAAACCAAGTAAAAAATATTTTTTCATTTACTTTGAATATTTATTTTTTTAATAAAAGAATGTTTTTTCTTTTCAAATTTTGTGCTACATTTTTGTTTTCTCTTAAAACTTAGTGGCTGTGTGAACTTCAACTGGCTGGTAAGCTTCCTCCGTCTCAAGCCCTCACATTACAGACGCGGCAGTCGCCGTTGATGATGACATTGCCAGGATTCAGGGGGGTGGCTAAGAAGGAAATTAATATAATCATTTAATAACTTATAAAGTTCGTAAATAGTTTAGTTAACTCACCATTAGCCAGAGCCACCAGACCCAAGACAAAGGCAAGCGACAGGAATTTCATGTTGTTGATGTTTTTGTGGTTTGAGGTTGACTCGGTAGGATTTGCAGCTGACAACTGATGCTGGGAGTAGAGAATCCAACGGCTTATATACCTAGCCCTATATGACTGAGCTCTAGGTAACTAGACGACTCAGCTGTCTTATCAAGGTGTTTGCGGCGACATCGATGGGGGAAAAAGTCTACCAGAGATTGGGTTTGAGTGAGAATAGTGAGAAATTCCCCCCGAGTGCAGTGGCAGTGGCTGTGGCGACGTTCTCAATGAATTTGAGCGTAAACAAGTGTAGAACGATAGCCTCTGGGGCAGGGAGATTTGGCAAGGGAAATCCAAGCCGATCCAGACCGCGTTTCTATTCACGTGCCGCGACCAGATTCCAAACCTGATTTTGATTTCATTTGACTTCTCAGGCGCCCCTGCGATGTTTTTCCAAGTATTGGGACCCGTTTTTTACGTTCAATTCCATCGAAACAATAAACTTTTAAATTAACACCGGGCATTATTAGCAAGAATTGTACGTAAAAGGGGTAGGAAAGGTAGTTGGCTGCAGTCTGGCCTAGCCAGGTGTGGTCAAAAGTTAAAAACAGAAATTCTTATAAAAATGATAACAATTTAGCATTTTGTAAATCTTCATAAAGTATAAAGAAATATAAAAGATATGCATAAATGAAAATTATTTTATTTTTAAGAATATAAAGCAAATTTTTTGAAATATTATAATATAATGTTTAAAGGCAGAGGAAAATCATGTAACGATGTAGTTATCTTACAAAACTATTTCTAAGTTTATATTATATAATCTTATAAATGTATAATCTTTATTTTGACAATAATAATATCTATAAAATTAATTATTTTTATAAAATAATGAATTTAAAACAAAGTTATTTGAACTTCCATTGAAAAATATTTCAAATTACAATTATGATTATTTTTTCCCAGTTTTTATTTTGACTTTTATTATTTAAAAAAAAGATTTTTTTGTAAGATTTCATTTTTTATTTTTTATTGTTAATTTTTAATATATTTTGCCTTTCAAAGTATAAGATTATTGTGCTAATATCTTATCAGCCTTAAATTATTTTATCTAATAATTAATATGTAAATAAATTCCTCATCTGCCTCTGCTCTTTGTGTAACACTGCGGATGCGCAATTTTTACACAGAGGAAACCAGCTAACTTTAAGTGCTAAAATATGAGAAATATTATTAATAAGCTAAAAAATGTTGATGTATTATTTAACTTAAATGTTTTCCTATAGTATTTATATTGCTTTTATTTTTATTTAATTTATTTTTTATGTTTATTTTAAATTTCTAATGCTTTTACCAAAGAAATAAATAATAAATCTTTTTCCTCTATCTGTCTATTACCAATAAAGTGATATTGCATGTAAATCTCTCTAAATATTAAATAATTTAAAAATATTTATTTCTCCATATACCACCAACTACTTCGCCTTAGAGTAGGCAATACTTTCTAACCCTTCAGCAGGCAAAAATATTAACTTTAAAATTACTAAAAAAGGCATAAAATTTCAAAGAAATATTAAATATTAAAACAATTTGCATAGTTTTCTTTGTTTCATTTATTATTATTTTTGCATTAAAATTAAATTCTAGTTTCCATTTTCGTACAAAGCGGCATTATAACTACTTCAGTTTTGGGTTTTAGGATAAGCTATGACCTTTGGTAGATCCTTAGGCAGGGACTCTCCTACTTTCCACCATGGACATTGCAGTACTTGCAGTCACCGTTGATGACCACATTGCCTGGATCAGGGGACAGGGGGACAGCTGAGGGAGAAGAAAATCAATTAATTTATAAACTATAAGATAGTAATAGTTATTAAACTTACCATTAGCCAGGGCCAGAAGACCGACCACGAAGACAGTGACAACTGAGAAGAATTTCATATTGATTTTGGTTAGGATTTGTGTTTCCGGTTTTTGATTGCTAAATGCGCTGGGCAATTGATTGAGTTCAACTGATGATTGAAGCTTTCGGGAGCAGAGCTTATATAGGTAAGCTTGGGATCTGGGAGCAACAACGACGACGAGTGCAATGGGCAGTTAGACGGAGGCTTCTGATAAGCCCGTTTGGGAAAACACAGAAACTTGGCCGTTCAATGGCACTTTGTTTTTGCGTATTTAAATCTGGAAATTCCAGTCCAGTGTTTACGGCTAAGCCAAGAGGTGTGTTACTATATACGTACCAGCAGTTAGATAATAATAGTAAACTTTAATTCCAGAGAAATTATTTATAGTTCTGAGTAGTATTAAAAGATTGGTAAAGCTATTTATCAAGCTAACTACTTCTTTATACTTTTGTTTACAAATCAAATTTGTTTTTATTTCTAGAATTTGCATAAAATATTAGCCCAAATTAAAACAAACAATGAATCCCAACAAACAATAATATATTTTGCATATATTTTGTATATATTTTTTGAAAACATTTTGCTTGATAAAAATGTGTTTAGGCGCCTTCAAAAAAACCTGTTGGTTATAATTTAATTAGAAAATCTACACGTGCGGCGATTTTTAAATTAACAGCTATTTTGTGCACTTAAAAAATAAATAAAAAAAAGTATAACAAATAACATAATTTTTTATGTTAAATATGAAATAACTAACATAAGTTAGCTTTAAAAGTTTCTTAAGTTTTTAGCCTTAACTTAGTTAGCATTTCTCAACTTTTTGTTAAGATTTTAAGCCCCTTTAGGCCCCTTAAAAAAATTATATAAAATTTGGAAAAAATGTAAATCATAAAATTAAAAAAAAACAAGATTTAAGTTACATTTAAAGATTAAAAATAGTCCAGAACTTATCACCTTTAAACTTTATGAGCTTCTTTCTTAGGAAACCCTGGAGCAGGATGCATCAAGATAAATCTAAAATAATCTAAAAAATCTGCAATAATCTAAAAATCGAATCTAAAATACATAAAATAATCACACAAAATGTAATGACTTGAATCTTTTTATACAAAAAGTCATAAATATATTCATAATTTCCTTTAAAACTAACATTTTCCCTTAATCTTTTATTCCGCAAACAGTCCAAAGTTCAGATTTGTTTCAAAATCATAAAAAAATAAAAAACAAATAAAGAAACAAATCACCTGCTCTATACTTAATTATAGCCTTGATCGGTTATATATATATATATGCATTCATATACATCATATATAGATTACAGATCTAAGCTAATCTCCCAGACGGGGGTATAAAAGACAGGCACCTGAGATCGATCCGGTTAGAGAGTCGCATAATGAAGTGCCTGACGCTGTTGGCGCTATTGTTCTTGGCCACATTGGCCTACGTTCAGGGTTAGTACTAAAGCTTAGAGAGGGTTTTAGCCAGATAAATAATCCACTCTCTTTCTCTCTCCCTCTTAACAGCCGGCAAGGTCTCTATCAATGGAAAGTGTGTGGATTGCACTCATGACCACACCACCACCACCACCACCCACAAACCCTCAAAAGGCAGAGGAAGTACTGCTAGTAGAACCACTGCCAAACCCAAGGCTAAGTCCTCACCCCCACGCCGGCCAACTTCATCAGAGGAAGATGATGACCTTGCTGGAGGGTGGTCTCTACATCAAACAGGAGGATCTCAGTATATAGGAAGACGTTCGAAACGCCAGTGGGGTGGTGGTCAGTACATAGATCTGGGTGGATCTAGCGGAAGAGGAGGAGGTGGAGGAGGAGGTGGTGGCTGGTCAGGAGGTGGCATTACCACCATTGATTCTCGTCCTTATCCAGGGGGTACCTTGGTGCGGAATAGCGATTGTGTTGGATGTAATATTCGTGGTTAATAGACCGAAATTAATAATAATAAATCATTGGAAAAACTAAGGGAAAACCCTGAAATTACTTGGTTAAATTGGGGGGTGAAAGTGTATTCCTATGGGGATGGATATATTTAATATTGACAGACTAGTTTATCGGTGTTATTATCTCTCTACTTGCGGTAGATTTAACCAAGTATATTTATTACATAATTAACTGACAAGATTTTAGATTTTGGACCGAGATAGAAGTTGACTGAGTGAGGAGATTGATAATAATGAATTATTAATCTTTAATATATATATTTTTATTATATATTTAAATGATTATTGAATCTGTAATCTGTATATAAAAATCGTTAAATATATTATATATTTTCATTTACAAACACCTTGCTATATCGTCTTTCTCCAGATTATGAGCAATAAATACAAATTATTTTCAATTTACAAAATAAGTTCGTAGAAAAAACAACTTTTTTGCTAATAAAAAGGGCAGTAAACTCTTTTTTTCTGCCTATCTACAGATTAATAGTAATAAATCTTAGTCATTTCTTTTTAAGTTATAACTTAAAATAAATATAAAGCCATAAAACTCTGTTTTTCTTCGTATTTATATTTTAAACATTTTTATAAATTCTAGTTTTTATTTCTGTACAAATATTGTTTTTTGTTTTTAAGTTAAGTTATGGCACTTTAAGCGTATTTCTTCAAAAACTTTTGCATTATCCGCCATGGACATTGCAATTTACACAATCACCATTAATAATAACATTTCCTGGATCGGGTGACAGGGGAACAGCTAAAGGGAAAGATATTTAATTAGTTATAATAACAAAAAGTATAAAGATTTTACTCACCGCTAGCTAAGGCCAGTAAACCCATCACAAAGACAGCAGCTAACGAAAAGAGTTTCATTTTGATTCTGGACTTTAAAATCCCTTTTTTAAAAGTTAAACACTAGCCAATGGTTAGACTTCAACTGATGTTCACGACTCACAGAACTTGATCTTATATAGGCGAGAGGCGACTTATAGAGAGACTTAGTCAAGTGCAATCTATAATCAAAAGCATCTGACAACCTCTGGAAATACTATATAGTACTATAACCCCTTTGACTTCATGTAAAAATCGCGTGTTAATTCCGTTTTTATTTATGTTTATTTGTTTTTGAGGTCTTTAAGTTTAATTTGTATGCAAGTTGAGTTTTTTGAGTTTGATTTGATTTTTGTTCCACCCCGAATATTGCGGAAACATTAGGGAACATCTAAAGGAAAACATATTTAATAAGTAATAATAACAGAAAATATATAGAATTTATTCACCACTAGCTAAAGCCAGTAAACCCATCAAAAAGACAGCAACTAACGAGGAAAAGTTTCATTTTGATTCTTGGTTGACCGATCCCTTACTAAAAGCTAGACACTGTCAACTGGTTTGACTTCAACTGCTGATCATGACATATAAAACGTGATATTATATAGCTGAAAGGCGACTCATAAAGAGATTCAGTCAAGTCCAATCTGTGATCAAAGGCATCTTATAACCCCTGGAAACCATTTTTTAATGTTAAAATCTCGTTTTAATTCCGTTTTTTAATTATGTTTATTTATTTGAAAGTCTTTAAGTTTAATTTTTGTTCAAGATTGTTTTATAAATATTTTGTTTTTTGAGTTTAAATTCAGCTATGGCATTTCCGTGATCCTTGGATAAGGTATACACCACTAATCACCTCTAACATTGCAGTATTTGCAGTCACCATTGATGATGACATTGCCTGGATCGGGTGACAAGGGAACAGCTAAAAGAAAGCATATTTACTTAGTTGTAATAACAAAAAGTATAAAGATTTTACTCACCACTAGCTACGGCCAGTAAACCCATCACAAAGACAGCAGCTAACGAGAAGATTTTCATTTTGATTCTGGACTTAAAGATCCCTTACTAAAAGTTAGACACTAGTCAATGGTTAGACTTCGACTGATGTTCACGACTCACAGAACTGGATCTTATATAGGCGAGAGGCAACTCAGAGAGAGACTTAGTCAAGTGCAATCTGTAATCAAAGGCATCTGATAACCCCTGGAAATACTATAAAGTACTATACACCTCCATGACTTAATGTAAAAATCTCTTTTTAATTCCGTATTTTATTTTTGTTTATTTGTTTTTGAGGTCTTTAAGTTTAATTTGTGTGCAAGATGGTTTTATAAATATTGTGTTTTTTGAGTTTGATTTAAGCTATGGCCTTTCCTTGAACCTTGGTTAGGATACCTCCCACTAACCACCCCGAACATTGCAGTATTTGCAGTCACCGTTGATGATGACATTGCCTGGATCGGGGGACAGGGGGACAGCTGTTGGAGTAAAATATATAATTAATTATATTTATAAACTATTAGTTACTTATAGTTTAAACTCACCATTGGCCAGTGCCAGCAGACCGAGCACAAAGACAGTGACAACTGAGAAGAACTTCATATTGAGGATGGAAATGCGGTTCTGGTTTGGCTCTCTGAACTAACTAGGTAATCGCTGAGATTCAACTGATGTTCTAGGCTATTGAGATCGGTTCTTATATACCTGATCGTAGGATCGTAGAGCGAAGCAAGCAAGTGGTTTACCCACCTGATAAGCGGGGTTTTTGGGAAAATACAGAAATGCAATCACAAGACCTAGATAAGGGGTACTGAAATGTTCAGATTTCGGAATGTAATCTTATTAATTGTGTATATATAAGTCTATATAATCTAAGAAGATCAAATATACATATTTACAACTAATTTTAGATATCTTCAAAGAGTATTTAAAGGCAAAAATAAATACCTAGACCAACTTTACTTACTTTTAAAGAAGTTTAAGTTCGTTTTATTTACTTTAAGCTAAGATTTGTACTTAATTAAAATTAATAAAAGTTTTTATAAATTTTTTTAAACTAAAATTAGTAATATATTTTATAAAAAATTAACCTATAATGAAGATTACTTTAATATAAACATCTATATAAAATATAAACCAATAAAGACTCATATTTTGACAATTTAGTAACTATATAAAGATTAAAATATTTTTAAAAATCTTAATAAATTTTATAAAAATCTTAAAAAATATATTTTTGTATATTCAAATATTTATTTAAACCATACTTTTTTGTATTAATTTATTTTCTTAATGTTTAGATGATTAAGCTAGTACTAATTTCTAAAGCTTAAAATGCCAAAAATCTACAAATAATCGAACTTCATAAAGAAGGTCACTGAACTAATATTTGTTTATTACTTTCCCTGGCTAAACATCAATGCAAAATAAAGATAAAAAATAAATTTTAAGAACCAAAACAAACTTCTGTTTGTAAAAAAAACAAAATTCCAGCATAAACATTATCCCAAGCTTGCCTTTAATTTCTAACCAAATGAAACAAATTAATTCTAATTCTAATTCTTATCAGAACAAAACCTTAAGTCTGGAAAACCCCCTGTGGCTCAGAATTATCTGTCAATTGAACTGGTTTCTGGGGTGGGCGAATCCCCTGCTCCACCTAACCACCATTACGATCTGGTTTTGCTTCTCAGACAAAAGCAAACGGGAATTGCTTAAAAGCTTTCGAATTTCATGTGTCTCGAGCAGATTCGTCTTGCCACCAGTTCGAGTATGAAGTGTCCCATTCTGGCCCTTGCAGTCGCCGCTGTCCTGATTTCCCAGGCCACAGGTAAGACCAGAGATGATGAGTCCTCCCTTTTAGTTTCCTTCAACTGATTATTTCATTATTCCATAGCCGGAAATGTGATTATCGGCGGAGCTTGCCGGGATTGCAGTCCTCCGGTGGCGGAAAATGTGGTTGTCGGCGGCCAAACCTATAGGACTGGCAGGCCTGGTCAGGGAAATGTCTATATCAATTCCCCCGACGCCTATCCTGGAGCTCTTGATGGTCAAAGCCAGCGTGGTTCCTCAATTGCCGCTGGACCTGGGGCAGGAGGAGCAGGGGGTGGCACTCGGTATCCCGATGGATACAGTGGGCGTGTGCCGGGTGGCACTTACCTTCACAATAAGGATTGTGTTGGCTGCAGCATCAGCGGGGGAGGGGATTAGAACGAGAAATAAAAGAATAATAGAAAAAGGAAATAATTTGGATTTTTACTTTTTTTTCGGGGATTTACAATTTCTTTAAATTTACAACATTTTTAAAAATTTTAAGAATTTTTAAGAGTACTTTATGAGTTATTAATTTTGATTTTGTTATTATTTTGTTATTATGAGTAAAAATAAAATAAAATTAACTTTTTAACTTTTTTTATGAGCAAAAATAAAATAAAATTAACTTTTTAACTTTTTTTATGAGTAAAAATAAAATAAAATTATCTTTTTAACACATTAAGTTTATTGTTAATAACATTTTATTTCATTTGATTAATTTTATTGATAATTTCAGTGGAATTAAAATTATTAGGAAATTAATTTTTTTTTTTAAATATTTCTTGTTGAAATTTAAAAATAATTAAAAGTATTATTTATTTGTTTTTAATAAGATAAATTAATGAATAACATTTAGATAATAGCATTTTAATAGATACTTTTATAAACTATATAAAAGGATGGCCCACGAAAGATTTGCGTTTTGTTGCTATAAAAATATCAATATTTCCGAATTTTCTTAGAGCGTTAACTTAATAATTTTGTAAACCGAAAACCTTCTACTAAATATCTGGCAAATTTAAAATGACATTCGAAATTTCTAAGTTAAAATTATCGATAGCTCAAAAAGCAAACGCTACATGGGCCACCCTGTAGTACTACTGCCACTATCTTAACTAGTTGATCCTTTTAAGGTAATATATGGTCAGTTTTATCAAAGCATTTTACCATATTCTATTACTAAATAGAGCAAAAAAACATATTTAAAAAATAAAATATGTTATTGTATAAAAACAAGACTAAATATAAATTAACTCAAGCTTAAGGGACATTAGACCTAACGAACTGAAAAAGTTAAAAATATATTAACCTAAATTTGTAACTTATTTGATTCATTAAATGAAATATAAACAAATTTCAGGAAAAAATTTAATTTGAGTTAAAAATAATTAAGAAAATCTTAAAAACAAGTTAATGTTTTCATGTTTTAGATATATCTTAAAATAATCTTAATCTTAAAGTTTTAAAAATATTTTCAGAGAAAAGAAACAAAAGTTATAAGAGCAAAAACAACTTCGAAACATCAAAAAAAGATATAATGATTTATTAAATAATTTTTAATTTTTAATTTAAATATTTTTGTTTCCTTTAAGACATCGATTTATTAAGCTCTCTTATTATTTTCAGTGTATTTGTATTCAAAATAACATTCCATTTATGTTATTAAATCAAATCAGTGAATACACCCTACGTCACTATTGTTTTTTTACGCAGCAATCTTCCCAAGTCAAACTTAGTATATCTTACTTAGTATATGTCACTTAGTATATCTCACTTAGTATATCTCACTTAGTATATGAATTAAAAAATCAAAGCTGGCAAGCAGAAGCTTTCAAGCTGCCTTGCATCTTGGCTAAGCCCTCAGTCGCGTGGGCTGGGTTATCAAGAGCAGGGGTTTATGAAAAACCCAAAGAATTATAAAATACTCTAGGGTATTTTTATTTTCAGCTATTCTTGTGTTAATCACCGTCGCTATAAAGTGATGTAGTCATATAAAAAGTGAGGCAAAGCCAAGATCTCAGTTAATGTTCCATCACATTTGTGGCAACGATGAAGTGGCTTTCGATATTCTTCCCGCTGTTAGTAGTTATATCTTTAATGGAAGTTGGTTATGCTAGTAAGTTTTCTATATAATTTTTAACTTATTAGATTTATTAAATAAAATATTAATTAATTTCAGGAACAATTCCCAAAATAACCATACGAAATGGGGACATTATTGTCCATGGCAACTGCAATGGCTGCACGGCCAGAGCCTCTAAAAACTCAGCTCACTTATCTATAAGATTTACCAGAAGATGGTAAAAAAAATTAAGTTTTATAAAAAAAAATACCTCAACAAGCCTTATTTATTTTACAAAAATTAATTAATAAAAAATATTACAAAAAAGTGCAAAGTTTAGTGATTTAAAAAGAAAGAAAAATTAAAACTAACTGAAGAACTAAAATCCCTTTTTTGGATATAAAGAAAAGTTTCTATTTCTTTTCTTTCCCCACTTTCCACCTCCCTTAAGCTTCACTGTACTAAATTAATAATAGCCAAATTGCAATGTTCTCGTAAATTTGTCGTAAAACTCAAGCCGTGGTCGTAAATCATTCCTGGCTTCCTTGGGAAAAAGTTCCGGTTTTGGCTTCTGTTTTATGCCTCATTGGTGGAAATATTTCAACGGGAAAAAAAAGAGGAAAAGCATAAAAATTGCCATCATATTTGACTTTAGCCCAAGACCAAGCCCTAAAGGCCGTTGTACACGTGTTTTCCTTCCGCTTTGCCCTGCTTGCGGGCTCAAAAGGTATTTCCACGTAGCGCGTCTTTACCGTTGGCTTTTTCCGCTTTTCCTGCATTTTCCGAGTCCTGTGACCCGTGTCCCTTTTTGTGAGATGTTTTATTGCCAAAGAAAACCGAGCGAAGGCAAACCGCTGTGCGCCTGTAAATGACTCCCCAGGCACCTTTATATTGACTCGTAAAATTGCGACATTTACTTGTGTGTGTAAGCGCCTCCCCTCCCTCCCCCCTTCTCGCATACCCATTTTCCGGCCTGTTTTTCCAAACGGGGTTTTCTCAGTGCTTTAAATTTGATTTTTATTTGTCCCAACCGTTGTTGGCAAACGATTTTTCTTATATGTTGCAAGTGAAAACCCCTCGTCTTGCCTTTCTTTTGATTTCATTCAGCGGAAATTGAGTTTTGGCTAGCAAAGAAAATTCCCTCAATGAAAGGAAAACCAAACACTTGATTTTTCATGCCTTTTTTTTTGTCTTTTTGATATAAAAAAAAAACTTTTGTTTAAGAACTTTGATTAATTCCGTTTGGCAGATATCAAGAGATTAATTGAATTTTTCAAGTGCCCAGCAAAGGGCTTTCAATTTTTCATAATTAAATTCGTTTCCCTTCGTTTTGCCGCCGGCACATTGCGCATACGCACAGTTGGACATACAATTTTTCTGTCTGCATTTTCATTTACTTAATTTTCATTGTATTTATTTGTGAAAGTTATTCCTTTTTTTTTGTGTTTAACCTTTTTATGTGAAATTCTTTGGCAGAAAAAGGAATTTTTGGTGGTCAAAATAAAGGGTTAAATTTTTAATTAATAAAAATATTTTTGATTATTGCAGAAAAATGTGTATTGTTTTTAATTTTAATTTTGGTCACATTTTTCATTTTTCCTCTTAACATTCTTTAGCAGTCAGAAGGAATGTCAGAAATTATAAAATTTAATTAAAAGTTAACAAATTATATAAAAAAAGGCAAATAGTTAACTCAAAAGCATAAATATAACGACAAATTATGATACCAACTGATGTAACATTTTCCTCACCAGAAACTAAAACCTTTTCCCTGCCATAAAAAGATTTTCATTCTGATTTTCATTCTCAATCCCTCAATCAATTCCCTTTTTCCTCATCCATTTATCATAGCAACCTAATTACGGCCCTCAGAATTTTCACCCCTTTGGTACAACTGACAGAGAGAACCAAATATGCAATCAAATTTTTGCCAAACACAGAATTTTCCCGGCAACTTTCCTGTCTGTATGCACAGGACCAGGTCCGGGACCAGGACATGTGGCCAAAGAGGTTTATGGGAAAAAAGGGGGCCAGGGAGGTCAGAAAACAATTGCCTGGCCACGCCCCTGGGGCAACCCACCAGTATTTCCACCTCTCCCCTACCCAAGGCCGATCAACTGGTCATTCAATTTTGCAGGCCCATCGCTCCCCCCCTTTTGGGCGCCTGCATTATGCAGCTTACCTCGGACTGATTTCATTTTCGTAATTACCTCACCGACTCAACCAACACCCCCAAATTCTCCTGCCCCGCTGCAGGTTGGGGCAGTGAAAGAAAAATTGTGTTTAAAGTAAAATTTTAGAAATATATTTTTCGGATATTAAATGTAATTTTTATAAATTTTTATTCATTATTATTATTACATATTTTTTTAATTATTATTATTCTGTTAAAAATTACTTTTTTTATTTATTTATATTTGTATTTATTATCATTCTTTAATTTTATATATTCTGTTTTTTATTGTTATTTAATTTATTATTTAATATCAGAAAAGTTAGTAGAACATTGTCAAAATCCTTTCATTATTTGACATCTTATTTAATGTATTTCTTTATTAATTTTTTAAATAGAAAATATATATAAGGTTATTATGTGTTAATCTATAATTCTAAATTAATATTGTGTATAAAAATTACTAGTTTATTTTTCAAGATAACCCCTAATGAAAGTCATTTAAAAACATTGTCAGAATAAATAATAATGAATAATCAAGCCTTAGACATTTTTCCAGGAAAAATATATAAAATGTAATCCACAAAAAAACAATATATAAAATGATTTTGTTTTAATAAATGCTTTAATTTATATATACATATATTTAAATAAGCTACATCCATATATATTCCATATTTATTATAGAAAACTGTAAACTAAATAAGTCGAAATATCATCTTTTAAAATAAAAGTCACAGAGATCATAAAACAACCTAGATTATCTTTTAGAAAATAAAACGTAAATACCTAAATTTTTATGATAAGCTAAACACTTAAATAAAAATAAAAAACATAAATATTAAATAGACAATACAAAATTATAGAAAAACTTTAGTTTCTTAAGCTTAAACTCAATTTTTAATAATATAAATGATAATAATTTAATATTTCTATCTTAAGTCGATATCTTCAAATACCTATTTCAAATTCATCAACTTAAAATCATTTCTAAGACAGGAAAAAAGAAATCGAAAATTTCCCTTTAAACTTCCCTAAAAACTCACCAATAATTTCCCTCAGTGCCCTCTCCCTGAACACGTTATCGACAGGTGGCGCTGTGCGGCCGGGGCTCGGTCGTAGCTGGCTTAACGAGTTGATTAAATGCTGTAATTGATGGAATTGCGAATGGGGATGCAAAGGTGTAAATGATCGGCTTGGAATGCCGCCTGGATAAACATGTCATTGTCGTTAGACGTTGCCGGTCGATTGGATGAGCACGAAAGTGATTTTTGGAATGGGGCCATGCCCATCAGAACCCTTTTCTCCAGCCATTGAACATCATCAGTGGGCATCAATCAGAGAAGAGGTCGGGCAATGGGCTATGGGGAATGCCAGGCGTATTCATTTCATAAATATTTGCGGCCGAGGGTCGTGGCCGTCGAGGGTCGCAGCCCACAAAAAGGCCAACGAGACTGGCGAGGTTGGAATAAAAAATGATTTAAAAATTGAAAGGATTATTATGGGTGAGCAGCGGCAACGGAGCGCGTTAATGTTGATGGCCTGGATGGGTCCCCTTTTGGACAGGATTCTGGACACTCGCTTTGGGCTTGGGTTTGGGTTTTGGGTTTTGGGTCTTGGGATGTGGATCTACTGGTATGTTGCTGGTGTCGCTGTCAGTCAAAAAGGAAAAGAAAAAAAAAAAGGAAAGGCAGGCCTGAAATCAACGAGGATGCCAACGGGCAGACTGTTGTTGGCCAACAATATAATTTGAACAGGAATGAAAAATAAACGAGCCGCACGAGAAGTGATTTTTTTCTCTCTTTTTTTGTGGGAGGTAGAAAGGGGAGAAGAGAGGTTATACAATAACAACAATAAAAAACGAACATAAAGCGTGCAATTTTTTTGTATAAATCAAACCAAATATGTGAACAAAATGTTTTTTATTTCGATTCCTGAAACCGGAATAGACACACAAAAAGTGTGTGGACAAGCACTGTGGAAGGAAATTGTATTTTGTTAGTTTAAAAATTTATGACTTGGTTAATTAAATACAAACATTTTTTTAATTTAAGGATTAAATGTAATATATACTGAAATGTCTGGTTTAAAAATATATTAAATTATTTATAGTATATATAATATAATTTCTTGGTTAATGGAATAAAAATCAAATCCTAAAACAAAGCCTTAGAAAATAATATAAATTTATAAAAATTTAAGTTTTTGTTCCTATTAAGATTCATTTTCTAAAATAAATTCTTTGATTTATTAAACAAATTTTTTTTCATTTTCATTTTTTATCATTTTCTTTGATATATTTTGGGTAATATTTATTTTGAAGGTCATGTTCAGATCTTTAATCCTACAATAAGCTACTTTTTTTATAATTTAATTTTTAATTTTCGGTTGCTGGCCATCAAATTCAACTGATATTATTATTTATAAGTAAAATATTATAAAAATATATATAATTTTGAGTTAAAGAGTTGAAAACTTCACCCACTGTTCTTCTCTTTACTCATCAGTTTGGAGACCATACGAATTTGTCCATCTTTGGTTTTGGCTGACATAAAACCACTGTGCCATATTGCCTTTTATTATTTGAGCACTAAAATAAAGACACTGAAGAAAAATATAAGAGATTAGTTAAGAAATATAAAAAATAAAGTATTCCTTATATATATATTTCTTTATACTAAAATATTTAATATAAGTTAAAGTAAGAAGTGAAAGAGCTACCTACCTACTCTGGCCAACGTATCATATGTAGGGTGTGGCGCACGAAAGATTTGCGTTTTAAAATCGCTATAAAAATAACAATATTTCCCGATTTTCTTTGAGCGTTTCGTATACCGCATACCTTCAACTAAATATCTGACCCGTAGACAATAACATTCGAAATGTCAAAGTCAAAATTATTGATAGTTAAAAACGCAAACGCTACATGGGCCACCCTGTATAAGATATTTAATAAAAGTATATTATTAGCTCTTAAGTTGTAATAATAAAATCTAATAATATATAAAAATATTATAATTTTATTATATATTTTATAACTTGAAACTTTCATGATTAAATTCTGTTTTAAGAAAGTTTTTTAAAGAGTTTTTATTTAAAAGAGTTAATCAAACTTTCCCAAGTGTATCCA